ACGTATTCGAACTCGAGACATTTTGTAAATGAAAGCAATATCTAAAAATATCTGTACTACTCAGCTCTCAGAAACTGCTCTCTTCACAAAAAACTAAGAGATAACATTTTAACAAAGGTAAACATAAACGTTGACACCACAGCATGTTTTAAATAAAGGCAAAAAACAAGTTGAAGAAATCATTTTTCTGGCTATAACACTCCTAATGTCACTAAGTATAGTTTATGACGATGAGATAACGACGTATTTATTAATCTCGAGTGTATTAAATAATGAAGAAATTGTCGTTCTCACCTTCCACCTGTCTTTTTGTCCAAGTCGCTACCGATCCCATTGACGACTTTCCTCTTATCAGAAAATGCTATCACAGACACCCCATCATCTACATCGGACTCGGCGATGTGACGTCCTTGTTCTAACGTGTTGACAGGCGTGAGCAGACCCGTACACGGCAGTCCCTGGAAGGACATATACCCGCTGTCCCCCACCCTGCTGGAAGGCATGGGATAATTGAAGCAGTCCAGTTTCAGGGACTTCAGGTGGTCCTCGATCGCTTGGCTGGTGGGGCTCTCCAATGGGGCTGGAAAATCGTGGCTTCGTCTAATGTTTCGAGCCATTATTTGCAATTAACTACGAGGGTGTTTCAAAAATATACTTCCCACATCTTTTTCAGGCACAAGGAATTTTTTATTTGAAAAGAAGAATTTACCTTTGGAAACGTTGATCCTTAAGCTATTTTTCTTCACAGCCGCCGTTTTTGATAAATCAAAAAATATTGTTATTGTGTAATAATTTTTATCAGGTTTTTATAGATGAACGAAAGCAAAGAAAATGCCCGTATTTGTTGAGTGGTTAGTTCAAAGACCGTGTTGTTTAACAGAAGAATATTGTGCTCATTCCAAAAATGCATACATTCTAGTATAAACTATTTTTCAAATAGTTTGAGCAGTCAGACGGTAATGTTATGGGGCGATCATTTCTAAGAGTTCAGTACTGCCTTTTTTTTGTGGACAAGCAACACTTCAGCTACTTTCAACAAATCCCAGTTTCCATAGAAATCAAGAAACAAGAGAAGAAAAAAATATATGAAAACAAAATCGATAGAAATAAAATTAACAGTAAAATGATGTGGAAGACACTAAAAAATATTGTACCTCCAGTAGGAAGAATAAATTATCAAGAATGTGTTTCGAAGATGGTATAGTAACACAAAAAATATTGATTGCAGAACGAATGAACGCTTATTTTATAGAAAGTATAAATGAGATAGTGGAATCAATCGAAGATGGGGATCCAAATCTATGTCACATGCAAGTAGTAGTAGTAGTAGTAGAAAGATTTTTTAGCACATTTGGCTACATAAACAGAACAATTGTAAACAACTTAGAACTAGTAAATTTAAGCCATATGGTGTATGATGTAAATGCTGGGCAACCTATAATTGTAGATTTAACAAGTGATTTCTCAATTTTACTTTAAATTTTGTCAAAGTTTTCTGGTCTTTTATCTCCGAGTATAATTTATTATATTCAATCAAACCTTGATGGAATACAGATTTGTAGCACAAGTTATACTTTTTGGTCATTAAATGGAAGTTATCTTTTTTCTGGTAATCTAAATGATGGTCGGCATTTGATGATGTTAAATTAGTTAGACTTGATGGAATATATTATTTTTTACTTTATAAATGAATATCATTACAAGATATTTGATAAAATCTTTTACATTGAGCCATTTTAATTTGCTAAGCATTTGCCTAATTGGAGTATATTTATCTTATTTAGTATTATTCTCATGCACTTATTTTGTAAATTTGCAGTCTTTCAAAAATGGAATTATTTGCTAATATAGAATAGTCCAACAGTACAAGAAATTTGGAAGAATGATGGTATAGATAATTTTTTTTGACTTTGAAGTTGAGTCATTAATTTTCAGATAATGATTGTAGAAGGAAGATAAACCAAAATATGTGTGTAAAAATTAAAAAAAATTAAAAAATTTTTTTTACCTTGTTTTATAAAGTATCCTCCCGACAAGTATTCAGTGCGGACCTGTATTTGATCGTGAGGTCCCCTGTGAGGTCTTGAGTCACCTGATTCACGAGCCCGTTGTACTACATTAACAAAGGCACGAGGGGTTGGTTGCACTCGATTGGGAAACCAATCCGCATAAACATGTGCCATTTTTTATTTCGTTTGAGCCACGCAACAAACACCACTACTCACCGCGTTACCGACTGACACTGACTGTATGTATACAACTGAATAAAATAATTGTAAAAACATCGTTCCAAATTCTTTCGCTTTTTTGTTTCCGATGCGATGAACCGATAAGGCGGATTATATCCGTTGTCGCCAAACACGAGCAGATGATATTATTATTGAGGACAGGGCGGTACTCAAACTTCCAAAGGGCTATAACTTTGTTACTTTAATTTTACCAGAAAAATGGTAAAGGAAAAAAACATTTCTTTTGATCAGATCTACTCACTGTTAAAATAAATGACTCAACTTCGAAGTCACCCTGTATATACTATATAGAGGAAGTATAGACTTTCATTTACAAAACTGCAGTAGCAATATAACGAGCAAGTCAGAATTTCAAAAGGGATTGTACGGATTTAATAAATTAAGTAATGATATCAAGATGTGTGTCAGTTTGAAAATGTTCAAAGGGAAATTGAAAAAATATCTCATGGAAAACCAGAATTCATAGTAGTGAAATTTTGTATAAAAATATGTAGTCTTGAAGACATAATATACTTTGTGATATACCGTGTTATATGGATATTATGGATATTGTAGCATTAATGCTAAATAAATCTGAAACCAACAAAGTGTCCTTCAAAGTCTCCACAAAAATCTCATATGTCAAAATCCAGTTTTAAATGGCTCCTTTTGCAGGTTAAAGCTGTGACTATTTATTTATACTTGTTTGCTACTTATTTTATAACTTGTTATCACCTATTTTATTTTAATTCTGTTATGTATATTTTTGGCCCTTTTCACGACTACACCATCGTATCGAAAAGCACGAAAATTGACTACATCAATATATGAAAACTCACACGACGCACTCTTCTTAGGAGTAGTTGTCCCAGGCGATGGATAAGGCCAGTTGAAATCATCATGGATCTGTTTCAGCGCCTTTACGAAATCATCTATTCGGCCAGCTCTGTCCCTTTCTTTGGCTAGCCATGTGACCAGGTGGAAATCCAGATGCGCAGCAAAATATCCTAGGTCAGTCAGGCGTCGCGCTGACAATAGTCGGCGAGCATGCTTTTGCAGGATGACGTCGATGAAGAACTCTTCAGCTGTGTTGTTTGGAGATCCTCTGGAACAACGACAATGATAAAGCACAATTATCACATAACAAGAAAAAATAGAATATATGGAGCACGATGTCGTTCTAGGTTCTCACTAGACCTCGATGAATATAAAAACTTCTCATCAACGATACGAAATATACATGAACTAATCCAGAACCTAAGGATAAGTTGATGCCTCACTTCAATACCTCAATAATTTGCACGATCATAACACTTACCTCTCTTATCCATTTTTGAGTTCTATTTTTTTTTAATTCCATCTATTTTATTTATACAGGGTGTCCGCAAAGTTGGGTTTTTCCTTTACACGACGTGTAGATCTTGAAAACATAAGCAATTTTTCTTAGTACTATATACACCAATGTCTTAAGGGAACCGAGATAAAGGGCTCCGCAACATCAAAAATATCTGAATGCCGTCCTGTAGCCGCGACTCGCGACATCCCCGAGTGGGACTAGGACACTAGCTCAACCCGACGACAGAACTGGGTCGGGGTCAGTGTGTCAGGTCAGTATGCAACCTTCAACCGACGGTTACGGTCACGCGTGTAGAGGTAAACGAACCCGTATAATCGATTGCGTTTCAAAAAACAACAAGCACTAGAGACGTGGCTAGAGGAGTGCAAGTATCAAAAACTAAAGTGTGGCAAACGCTGCGTGAAGAGGGGCTGTATCCGTTTCACGTCCAACGTGTACAAGCCCTTCAACCTGACGATTTTCCAGCAAGAGTGCGGTTTTGTGAGTGGTTGTTGCATCAACATGACAATAATCCGGACGTTTTGAAGTGCATATTGGTGACAGACGAATCTACGTTCACGCGTAATAGGGTGAATAACTTTCGCAACACCCATGTTTGGTCAGTAGAAAATCCGCACGCTGTCCGTCGGGCACATTTTCAACAAACATTTTCGGTGAATGTTTGGGCTGGCATGGTGAACGGTATGCTCATTGGACGTACGTAGCCCTTCTCGTCAACTGGAGAGTGAGTACTTTTTCCTTTATTTTTTTTTTACTTGGTCGCCCTCGTTTCACTACACATTACCTTTGTTATTCCAAGGGTAGTTGTTTCTGAAAAGGAAAACCCCAACTTTGCGGACACCCTGTATATTTTAAACACAACTATCTTTTAATCTGTATCTACCACGTTTTTTCAATGTTTATTTTAGCTAAATGTTTGTCTATTTTTAAGTTATATTTCAATGTTTGTTTATTTTGACTGCCATATACTAATGTATGTTATTTACTTATTTGTTTTCTGTATTTTTTTTATTTTATTGTACTACTACTTGTATGTCAACATATGATCTGACAGAAATGAAATAGAGCGAAGAAGATACGAGGGTTGTTTCAAAAATAAGGTCCCCAACGCTGCAGGTCACGATTAGTGTTCATTCGATTTAGCGTGATTGCCCAGCGCTATATCCACGAAGTTTTACAACCACATACGAGGGTGGTCCCAGAAGTACACGGCCCGACCTAGAGATGGCGATAGTTATTTGAAAAATATCATTGTATTAGACAGTATGCAACCTGTAAAGCATATGTGTCAAGTTTGAAGACGCCACGTTGTTTGTTTGGCAGCCATCAATACTGAACGTTTTCATTGAATTTGTGAAAATGGAGAATATTGGGCATCGTTATGCGGTACAATACCTTTATTTCAAAGGCCTCAGCCCAACCAATATAAAAGCTGAACTGGGTGAGTCTGCTCATTCGTTTACAACAGTAAAATATTGGGTAGCAGAGTTTAAACGAGGCCGTATGAGCTGTCAAGACGAGCATCGCAGTGGTCGACCAAATGAGGTGACGACTCCAGAAATGGTGAAGAGAATTCACAAAGCGGTACTGAATGATCGTCGACTGAAAGTGCGCGAGCTAGAAGACATAGTAGGCATTTCGAAAAGTGCGGTTCATCGCATGTTATCTGAAAATTTGGACATGAGAAAGCTGTGTGCAAGACGGGTGCCGCGATTGCTCACTGTCGTGAAGATGTTTCAATTGAGTGTTTAGCGAAGTTTCACAGCAACAAAGCAGAATTTTTGCGTCGTTTCATAACCACGGGTGAAACATGGGTCCATCACTTCACACCCGAGACAAAAGAACAAACAAAACAATGGACCCAAAAGGGAAAACCGGCTCCAAAGAAGGCGAAGACCGTTTCATCTGCAGGCAAGGTTATGGCGTCGTTTTTTTTGGGATAATTTTCATTGACTATCTTGAAAAAGGTAAAACTATCAACGGCGAGTATTATACGAACTTATTGCAACGTTTGGGCGATGAAATCAAGCAAAAACGGCCGCATTTCGTTGGGTCGGGTACTTCTGGGACCACCCTCGTATGCTTCCATTTTTTGAAGTATTGCAAGATCCACTTTTTCAGCAGAACAATGCTTGACCTCATGTCGCACGTGTTAGTTTAGACTTTTAGAAGCATCCGGAGTAAATCTGCTTCAGTGGCCTACTCGATCTCCAGACCTTTCCCCCATCGAAACATGAATGGGACATGATGGTAAGAAGGCTGCAAAACCGCACCCTCCACAAATATTGGAGGCTCCACGGAACCAAATTCAGATGGCCTGCGATATAATACACCAAGAAGACACCAATCACCTGGTCCAATCAATGGCGCGACGACTTAACGAATGTGTAGCGAAGACACATTATTAACATTACGGTATTTTGCGAAATTTCGAGTTAAAATTGTAAAAGTATGCTCAAAATCACAGCACTCCTAGTCGGTGCTGCATTTTCTATGTAATTTAGTGTAATTAAAAGAATAACACTGGTCAACACTGGTTTTGCCACACGAACTTTGACAGCTAATTTTGTTTTCATCAGTCTACCCTCATTATTACATGACAACTGTCATATGTCTATTAGCCTCATATTGTTGTATACGGTAATACTCATAACTAGTACTACGGCAGTAAATTAACAGAACGCTTACAAGTAAATCCTTATAAAAATATTTGTTGTTGAATTTGAACACTTTTTGTGATTTATTAACCCTGTGAATATGTCGAGGAAGTGTAATAATGATCCTAACTCTTTTGTTATGTCTGCGGAGAACTAACATTCAAAAAACAACGACGAAATTTTACGAATCTTGTGTTGGAGTGTTATCACCAATGTTTTGGTTTTCTGTCGCCCATCAAGACAAATCCTGGGCCCCTCATGTCTGTTGCATAACGTGTGTGAAAAATTTAACTGACTGGAAGAAAGGTGCACGACCTATGCCGTTTGCTGTACCCATGATATGGACTGAACAGCGAGATCACGTTTCAGATTGCTATTTTGTCTCACAGACATAAAAGGTATAAATTACAAGAAAAAAACCACAGTTATTTACCCTAACTTATCTTCGGCTATAAGACCAGTCTCTCATTGTAAAAAATTGCCCGAACTAATACCAGTTGCAACTACGTCTGTTGAGAACAATTCACAACCGTCCACTTCAGGTGAATGTGTTGACGAGGACGATGACTTTGAGTTAAAAGGAATTGTAAACGAGCCACATTTGATAACTCAAGGAGACCTAAATGATTTGGTTCGGGATTTAAATTTGTCAAAAAGCAGTCAGAACTATTAGGATCACGTCTAAAAGAATGGAATTTGCTACATCATAATACAAAAGTTAGCTATTTTCGAAACCGCGATCAACACTTCAGAACGTATTTTTCTCAGGATGGAGATTGGTGTTTTGCAATAACATAAATGAGATTATGAAAATGTTGGACATAGATTTTGATCTCTCTCAGTGGCGTTTATTCATTGATTCTTCGAAAGCAAGTCTAAAAGCAGTGTTATTGCATAATGGAAATAAGCTTCCGTCTGTACCTCTGGCCCATGCTGCAAATATGAAAGAAACCTATGAAAATATGAAACTTTTACTTGAAAAAATAAATTACAGTACATATTCCCTCAAATCTGCGGTGATCTTAAAGTTGTTGCACTATTACTTGGACTGGGTTATACAAAGTTTGCTGCTTTTTATGTGAATGGGATAGCCGAGACAGAACTAATCACTATATGAAAAAAACATGGCCTACGCGTGCATCGTTAGTTCCTGGGCAAAAAATCGTAAAGTATTTACCACTTGTACAGCCAAATAATGTGCTTCTACCACCATTGCATATCAAATTAGGATTAATAAAAAATTTTGTCAAGGCAATGGATCGCAATGGGAGTGGATTTTTGTATCTAAAAGAAAAATTCCCTAAAATAAGTGATGCAAAGATAAAAGAGGGTATTTTTGTTGGCCCTCAAATTAGGGAGTTAATAAAAGATTCAAGATTTGAAGAAAAATTAAGCGATTTAGAAACATCTGCATGGAAGGCTTTTAAAAATGTTTCAAATTTTTGGGTAACCACAAGAGTGACAGCTACAGAGAGTTGGTTAGCGAGCTATTATTGTCATATCAAGCATTGGGTTGCAACATGTCACTTAAGATCCATTTTTTAGACTCGCACCTGGATTTTTTTTCCTGACAATTTAGGGGCTGTCAGCGACGAGCACGGTGAGAGGTTCCATCAGGACATTTCTAATATGGAAAAGCGGTACCAGGGCAAATGGAGCCCAAATATGTTAGCAGATTACTGCTGGACAATTAAAAGGGACCAACCAGAAGCTAAATTTCAAGAAAATCTTAGATTATTAAGTCATTTATAAAACCACTAGTCGGTTGCTGCATGTTCTATGTCATTTTAGTATTATTAGAGAATAATTATACAAAATTTTCATTATAGCATTAATGCTAAATAAATCTTCAACAAAAAAACTCTTCTTTGTTCACCAACATATTATTATTTTACTTACTTGCTTTCTTGTTTATTTCCAACCGAAGTGACAGATTTCTTCCTATCTGGCTTAGGACTCTCTATCACGCTGGCGACTTTCTCACTATTGGACCTTTCCAACTGTTTCGGCGACACTGTAGTGCTATAACTCCTCACCCTCGGCCCTTGGACATTCCCCAGTATTAACGAGAGATCTTCGGCGTTTGGGGTGACGGGAGTAGTTTGTTGAGCCATCGTAAGTTTTGGGGGTAGTATATATGAAGCTCGAGGAGATTCGGATTCTACGTCTTTTGGGTCTGGAATATTAGATTGCGATCGTTCGTTAAATACGCGGAATGCAAAAAACAATAGATTCAAAAGTATTTGAACACCCAGAAAACAAGGAAACTTATGGGAGTTATTGAAGAAAATAATATCTGTATGACACATTTATTTTCTCAATTCTTAGCAACATACAGGGTGTAAACGTTATGATAGTCATTATTTTTTTAGCGAAATTGTGCTTTAGTTGTTATTTTACCAGCCACATAAACCATCCCTTTAAGTTCTCCCCAAAACCAGAAATAAATAAGCACTGAATAGTTTTTTTTTGTTATGATTTTAAAAGGAAATATGCAGGTGTTCAAATACTTTTGAACGGTAGTGTAATTGAATAGCAGAAAGTGGAAAATATCCCACTTTCTAAGCCACTGGCATTGCTATACACGGTGTCCCATTTCAATCCCTCACCTAAATACGAGTACTTCGCAAAACTCACTCAAGTACGAGGTCTGTAAATTAAGTAGACTGATTTTTTCAATTTTTTTGTTCAAGCATATTCAGAATTTTATATTGTCGCCGTCAAAATAACTTCCTTGTGAGGCCTCACAGCGTTGGAGACGGTTTTTCCACTCTGAGACTCCGATACTGGATTAGCCTTCAGCCGTTTGAACGTTTTCGACTGTGCCAAAATGAGTTCAATCGAGGTGATTATTTAACTTCGGGAAGAGGACTCAGGTAGTAGTAGTAGTAGTAGTAAAAAGATTCATTTAGCACATTTGGCTACATAAACAGAATAATTGTAAACAACTTAGAAATAGTAAATTCAAGCCATATGGTGTATGATGTAAATGCTGGGCAACCTATAATTGTAGATTTAACAAGTGATTTCTCAATTTTACTTTAAATTTTGTGAAAGTTTTCTGGTCTTTTATCTCTGAGTATAATTTATTATATTCAATCAACCCTTGATGGAATACAGATTTGTAGCATATGTTATACTTTTTGGTCATTAAATGGAAGTCATCTTTATTTCTGGTATTATGTAAATGATGGTCGACATTTGATGATGTTAAATTAGTTAGACTTGATGGAAATATATTATTCTTTACTTTATAAATGAATATCATTACAAGATATTTGATAACATTTTTTACATTGAGCCACATTTTAATTTGCTAAGCATTTTTATTTAGTATTATTCTCATGCACTTATTTTGTAAAATTTGCAGTCTTTCAAAAATGGAATTATTTGCTAAATATAGAATAGTCGAACAGTACAAGAAATTTGGAAGAATGATGGTATTATAGATAATTTTTCTGCTATATGAACTCAGACATCCAGAAACTCTCGATAAATATCCCACTTTACTACTAATCTTATTTATAACTTTTTCATAATGAATATCAAAAATTAATCGAGAGTCAACAAAAACCTCCAGGTATTTAAAATTTTCTACGAATTCAATATCTTCATCATCAATATTCAGTTGAACATTTGTACATTGTTTTTTCCGATTAACAAGGCTTTCGTTTTACTTGTATTTAATTTTAGTCTGTAAGGTGAGGCGAATAAGGAGGCCGAGGAGCCGCAGATACGTTTTTACTGACCAAAAACTCGTTTATTGACATTACTGCCTGACAAGGAGCATTGTTCTTGACGTTTCGTCTCATACGAATGACCCGTTTTCGGAGTGTTTCAAGAACCTCCCGGTAAAAGTGTTGCTTGACCGTTTGGCCTTGAGGAAAAACAAATTAGCAAATGCATGACCTGCCACTTCATCTTTACTGCTTTTTTTACGTTGCCAGTCTCATTACTCAATTTTCAGACCTCGTAGGACGTATTCAAAAGTAGTGCGTTCTTACCAATAGCTCTAAGAAATCGCACCAAGTCTTTTGCTAATTCCCACATCGACTTCTCAAGGGCAGTGTTCAATAATATTGTTGCATACTGTCTACTGACAGATGACGTTTCTAGGTTCTGGAAAACAAAACACATGGATTTTTCATATTTTTTTACAAGGAATCACCCTCTAAAATATCCCCGTCTATTTCTCGAACACCCTGTATTTATATCTCCTCTTAGTGTAGCGATTACGATGCCTTATCAGTGCTTAAATTGATTATTTTCTTTCAAAACTATGTCGTCAACTATTGTAAATGGGTAACCGCTGAACAATAAATGCTATTATTATCAAAAACCGGCTACCGTGAAACCAAGCTAACCAAAATACCAGTAGGAAAGTTCACTTTGATTAAAAAAAATACAAACTTAATGAAAAGAAAATATTTATTACTATCAGCATATTCGTGAATTCGGCGGGTTTTATTTCTTAAATATCATTCCGTCCAAATGTTTGCCATTTTTCGGACACACTCTTCTAATCGCGCGCGCAAATTCTGAAACACTGTCTTGCAGAATTCCGTCGAATGTTGTCTTTAAGCTCCTCCAGTGTTCGTGGATTATTGATTTTAGATAACCCCACAAAAAATAATCGCAGGGCGTGAGATCGGGTGACCTGGGAGGTCAGTGAATGTCTCCAAACTTCGAAAAGTGCTTTCACCGTGTCCATCCATTCTCCGGAAGTACGGGCAGTGACCCCATCCTGTTGAAACCATGTGTTTCTGTTAAATCGACGTCCTGTTCTTACAATAGGAGCAAAAAAAGTGTCAATCATGTCCTTGTATTGCTCGGAATTTTCTTCAAAGAAATACGGGCCAACAATACCGCTAGAGGATATGGCGCACCGAACAGTCACCTTTGGACTATATAGCTGTTGTTAATGTTTCTCTTTTGGGTTTGTTGGTGCCCAATATCACTGGTCAACAAAATTTTAACTTTGTCGTGCCACACGGACTTTTTTGATATTTTTTACTTTAATTGGTGATTGTAAGAAAAAATAAACAGTTAAAAAAAATTTGCTAGACAAGGATTTTATTCTATTGAGTAATTTAAAATATTAAGAAAAAACACAGATCTCGTAAATCAAAAGTTATTTTTTTATATAAATGACTTAATAATCTAAGATTTTCTTGAATATTTAGCTTCTGGTTGGTCCCTTTTAATTGTCCAGCAGTAATCTGCTAACATATTTGGGCTCCATTTGCCCTGGTACCGCTTTTCCATATTAGAAATGTCCTGATGGAACCTCTCACCGTGCTCGTCGCTGACAGTCCCTAAATTGTCAGGAAAAAAATCCAGGTGCGAGTCTAAAAAATGGATCTTAAGTGACATGTTGCAACCCAATGCTTGATATGACAATAATAGCTCGCTAACCAACTCTCTGTAGCTGTCACTCTTGTGGTTACCCAAAAAATTAGAAACAACATTTTTAAAAGCCTTCCATGCAGATGTTTCTAAATCGCTTAATTTTTCTTCAAATCTTGAGTCTTTTATTAACTCCCTAATTTGAGGGCCAACAAAAATACCCTCTTTTATCTTTGCATCACTTATTTTAGGGAATTTTTCTTTTAGATACAAAATCCACTCCCATTGCGATCCATTGCCTTCACAAAATTTTTTATTAATCCTAATTTGATATGCAATGGTGGTAGAAGCACATTATTTGGCTGTACAAGTGGTAAATACTTTACGTTTTTTTTTTGCCCAGGAACTAACGATGCACGCGTAGGCCATGTTTTTTTTTATATAGTGATTAGTTCTGTCTCGGCTATCCCATTCACATAAAAAGCAGCAAAACTTTGTATAACCCAGCTGAACTCCAAGTAATAGTGCAACAACTTTAAGATCACCGCAGATTTTGACGGAATATGTACTGTAATTTATTTTTTCAAGTAAAAGTTTCATATTTTCATAGGTTTCTTTCATATCTGCAGCATGGGCCAGAGGTACAGACGGAAGCTTATTTCCATTATGCAATAACACTGCTTTTAGACTTGCTTTCGAAGAATCAATGAATAAACGCCACTGAGAGAGATCAAAATCTATGTCCAACATTTTCATAATCTCATTTATGTTATTGCAAAACACCAAATCTCCATCCTGAGAAAAATACGTTCTGAAGTGTTGCTCACGGTTTCGAAAATAGCTAACTTTTGTATTATGATGTAGCAAATTCCATTCTTTTAGACGTGATCCTAATAGTTCTGACTGCTTTTTTGATAAATTTAAATCCCGAACCAAATCATTTAGGTCTCCTTGAGTTATCAAATGTGACTCATTTACAATTCCTTTTAACTCAAAGTCATCGTCCTCGTCAACACATTCACCTGAAGTGGACGGTTGTGAATTGTTCTCAACAGACGTAGTTGCAACTGGTATTAGTTCTGGCAATTTTTTACAATGAGAGACTGGTCTTATAGCCGAAGATAAGTTAGGGTAAATAACTGTGGTTTTTTTCTTGTAATTTATACCTTTTCATGTCTGTGAGACAAAAATAGCAATCTGAAACGTGATCTCGCTGTTCAGTCCATATCATGGGTACAGCAAACGGCATAGGTCGTGCACCTTTCTTCCGGTAAGTTAAATTTTTCACACACGTTATGCAACAGACATGAGGGGCCCAGGATTTGTCTTGATGGGCGACAGAAAAACCAAAACATTGGTGATAACACTCCAACACAAAATTCGTAAAATTTCGTCGTTGTTTTTTGAATGTTAGTTCTCCGCAGACATAACAAAAAGAGTTAGGATCATTATTACACTTCCTCGACATATTCACAGGGTTAATAAATCACAAAAAAGTGTTCAAATTCAACAACAAATATTCTTATAAGGATTTACTTGTAAGCGTTTCTGTTAATTTACTGCCGTAGTACTAGTTATGAGTATTACCGTATCACAACAAATATGAGGCTAATAGACATATGACAGCTGTCATGTAATAATGAGTGTAGACTGATAAAACAAAATTAGCTGTCAAAGTTCGTGTGGCAAAACCACTGTTGACCAGTGTATCTGCAATTTTGCTTGTTCACATAACTGTCTAGGTGAAAATGGGCCTCGTCACTGAAAACAACCTGCTCGAGTCTGCGCTGCGTATAAAAAGATTCCACATCCGTTCAGCACAAGATTTTCGTAATACGTAATGACTTTCCTTTAAAGCATGGACTCTTAAAGTAAGCCTCGATAGCAAAAGCACGTTGCGCTCCGGTCCAACGTTCCATCGTGACTATTTAACCCGCACGCCGGACGCGTCGATCAAGACCTCTCCCCACTTAATCGCGTATACGCTTGCCGCGTAATTCAAATTTGAAATGTGAACTTTCCCACTATATTGAATCAACAAAAGTATAGTATCTGTACCTGTAAAATGATGAGATAAGAAGCGGCAGTGTCCAGTTGCCCCTTAGCCATGCATTCCTGAAAGAGATCTTTGGGTTTGCCGGCAACCGAAAACAGGTACGGCCACAGTGCAATTTCAGTCTTTCGCGCGCATTGCACTACGGTTTGTAAATATACAGGAAACTCCATTATAAATTCTATAACACTAGGTAACTGGGCATCCGGAATAGGTTCCTTGCTGGTTGCTTCTTCCTCTAACACCTAAAATATGGTGATTGGTTCTGGGTTATTTCGGCTACTGTTAGCGTAAGATTATAAATGGTGATCAGTTTAAAAATTTTTCCCAAATTCAAATTTCGATATTTTGAGAACGGAAAGAGATATCGTGTTACGGTATTCGGGAGGATCTTGAGTTCGATCGGTGTACTGCAATTGCATGTTTGAGGTGTAGGTGGTTAGGATGAAACCGGAGAAACGTCCTATTTGCATGGAGAGGGTAATCCAAAAAAATATGACATTTATTGCGGGAAGTTGAAAATTGATAATTTAAGTTATAGGCACCTTTAGAAAAATTTGAGACATCACTTTTTCTTAAGGTAGTCCAAATAGAAATACAACAATTTCCAAGATTAAAAATTGAGAATCTTACATAGCCCCAAATGTTGCTTAAAAAACCTGACTTCCTTTGCTCACCTTGTATAAATGGATAAATAGAAGAATACCGGTAGAGCCCTGTATACTTTATCTGAAGTCACTTGAAACACTGTGAAATACCGGGTGCGTTTTATATATCTATATTTAACACGCTCTGTTGCTGCAAAAATGGCCAAATTTCGCAGCAAATATCCCCCCGTATAAGAGATCAAAGGCAGTTTCACCGGTCCACGTGGAGTAAAGCACGCCTATGCGTGGACATAGCCAATGAGAAAGCGTGTATTTCAGAGCTCGGAACAAGTGCAGGTGGCTACTGAAAATTGAAACAGTTTAGCCAGTGCCGTGTAGCGGTGAATAAACGTGTTTTCTTTAGTCTTTCCGTGTTTTTTCATAGATTTTATTAGTTTGTGTGTTTTTGACTTTTGAATACTCAGTTTACTTGTTGATTTAATTGTTGTGTTGATTGTTCTTGTGTGTCCTAAATATGGCTCTTTGGAAACCTTGGGAAAATGCTCCAAGCCACGAGGAGATGGTTGATGAACCTGTGCAGGCAGAATTCTTTCATAAAGATTTAGAGGAACAGACCCAAAGAGTAATCCTAAATATGTATGATTGTCTGAAAAACGAAAATCCAGATTCCTCGCTAAATCAAATTTTAAACAGAATTTGTATCCTGACAAAAATCAGTCGGTCTACCATTTATCGGGTTATAAAAAGGGGAGATGTAGTCAACCATTCTTTCCACAGAAAGCGCATAGGGCAAAAATTAAAAAGAATAGACGTGGTTTTTCAGGAAGATATTCGTCGTATAATATACGGATTTTATAAAGAAAATTTGGTGCCCACGTTGGAAATGATACGGGATAAATTAAAAGATTATCCTGAAGATTTTTATAATTACAAATGCTTAGACTCACTGCACCGTATTGTAAAACTGTGTGGTTTTCAATACAAAAAATTAGATAAAAGAATGGTGATTATGGAGTTGTCTCGAATCGTTGAATTGCGCCAAGAATTTTTGCACAAAGTTAAAATCTATAGAGAGCAGAAAAGAAATCTGATTTACCTGGATGAAACGTGGTATGATACCCATGATGTTGTGCAGTACGGCTGGGTTGACGACAGCAACAAGTGCATTTTAAATGCACCATGCAACCGTGGAAAACGAATCATTATTCTCCATGCTGGCAGTGAAAATGGATTTATACCTAATGCCTTGCTGTTATCTTCCAAAAATATCAAAGAATCATGTGCCGACTATCATGAGGACATGACCTCCGACTTATTTGAAAAGTGGATAGAGCAGCAGTTAATACCAAACATTTCCCCAAATTCAGTGATTATTATGGACAATGCGCCATACCATTCCCGACAGAAAAACAAAATTCCGAATACAGGCACAAAAAAACAAGACATTATTGATTTTATGAAGGATAAGGGAATTGAAATACCACAAAAATCAACCAAAGCCATATTATTGGATCTTATTAAAAGACAAAAATTTGAAAAAGAGTATGTTGTTGACAATCTGCTTCAGCAAAATGGCCATGAAGTATTACGTCTACCTCCCTATTACTGCATTTTTAACCTGATTGAGTTGGTCTGGGCTGCTTTAAAAAAAAAAGTAAAAAAACATAATCAGACCCCTCAATTAAGTGAATCGCTATTGGCCACAATAAGAGATGCAGTATCTCATATTGCTGCCACAGACCTATGGAAGCAGTGTTCTAGGCATATTATTGAAAAAGAAAATGAATATTGTGTTTTGCCTCCTGTAAATCCCGTTGTAATTCCTCTACAAGATGACTCTAGCGACAGCTCCGAAGGCGAGGATGATATATAAATACCTATAATGTAAGTCTTTATATACCTTTTTATATACCTACCTGCTATGTAAATATTTGCCTATGTCAAACGTTGGAATTCTGTAATTTTTCCATTTCTTAACTTTCAGTCAACATAAATTAAACTCCCAATATAAGTATTTTTTATCCCAAATCAAAAAAATAAGAAGATAGTAAAATCCATTTATTGTGATATAAAAACATTATTATTATCGTTCTAAATAAATGCCGCACGCCTATGATACGTCATGAAATTACAAAGGACGCGCCGACCAAAGGTTTTTATGTGACTTCAGATACACCATACGTGTTCTCAAAGAGTTGGTCAAGAACCTTGATATCTCTTCCGTTCCGAAAATATCGCGATTTGAATTTGCGTAAAACTTTCCATGTTGCAAAGCAGCTGTCCACCAGTTTAGTTGAATATTTGCATTGTTCTATTATTCTCAAAATTAATTTGAATTGACACACCACAAAAAAACAGTTGTGTAGCTTACATTTTTTAGAGGAGCGTTTTCAGAAAAAAAGTTTTTTGAACACGCTTTTATTATATATAAATTTCGACAGTTTCAAGAAGGCCGATTAACTAGAAAATATGTACAAATCTTGAAAAAAAAACGAATATGAATTTTTGTAAAAAAAATTATTTGGAAAAAAATTGAGAAATCTTGAAAAATATACCAAAATTCGAAGAAGTACTTTTGTTGCCGTTTTGACACTGAAAATTCACAAATTAAATTATAAATAAAAAAAACTAAGAAAATAAGGTTTAATAGCAAATCTAATCAAAAAGTAGAAAATAAAAGATCCAAAATCCGGTATGACTAATTAATTAGGAATAAGATCAATATAACATTCAAAATATTAACAAAAAATGCATTTATAGTAAAAAAGCTAAAAGCGTGGTGTGCAACTTAACTACGAGCCCCTTCCCACTTCAGTTGGCCCAACTATTGAAATCTTAGTTTTTTTCTTATCAAACACAAATAATAAAAATGTAGCAGGGTGATATAGGTTTAAAATATTAACAATGAATATTTTGATAATATATTGTAGAAAACACCAACTTTATCACTCCCTAATCAAATTTGCAGCATAAAAATAACACATGTTGCAATTACATCATATCAACCTATTTTCATTTCAATGCAAAATAAGTTTATAACGCATAGGTGACTGTGAAAAATAAAAGCCATGACAATTGTTTTTATTAATCACAGCTGTCAGAATACGTTTAAAATAGTTTTGGGTAGTTAAGGTTTTCAAATGGGTAGAGGAAAGGTTATTAGTGAGAAAATTCGGTTACCGATAATCAAATTTTTGAATTCTGGAAAATCAAACTCAGAAATTGCAACTTTGTTAGACTTGTCGCGGTACAGTGTGAGACATATTGTTAGAAGATATAACGTACCTGGTTCAGTTAATATTACGCCACGATATGTGGAAAAAAGTGATATCACAAATGCCGACCGAAGAGCATTAAGAAGAATAATCGTGAAAAACAGACGTGCCAATTATTTACAATTAAGTGCTCTGTGGAGTGACGCTGTTGGAAGGAGAATTTCGAGATCCACAACTCATAGAGAGGCCCACAAACTAGGATTTAGCACTTGCAAGGTAAGTTTTCTTATAACAAAAAGTGAAGTAAAGACCCTAAAATTGCACAACTTGTTTATAGGCCAAAGAAAAGCCACTATTAACCCACTGCAAAAGAAAAATCGGCTTAGATGGCCTAAAGAACATTGACAATGGACACCTCAACAATGGCGTGCAATACAATGGAGTGATGAGGCCCGATTCAAAGATTGTGTTGGTGACAGTCGCAGTAGAGTTATTCGCAAAAAAAAATGAAGCATTCCATGTTGACTTTCTGAAGAGAAAAGTGAAATTTCAAGCATTGAAGAGGTTCGGCAACAGCGCGACCGTGTGTGAGTGCGAGTCGAGTGCAAAGTGCGACGGAGGGCAGGTAGTAAGACCCTGAGGGCGGGTTGCGGGAGAGACGGGCATGAGCATCGGCAGAAGGAGGGCGGATATCGTCGCTCGACCCAACGGACGTACGAACATTGTGACTGCTATTTTTTTTTTCATTTCGAATTGTATAGTGTGACTTGTAAATCGGCCTCTATTTTAGAAAATAAAGTGATATCGTTGTAACACCGTCTTCGTCCCATTAACCTGAGAGGGCTAGCTCGGGAACTATTTCAGCATCCATTATGGTCTGGGCAGTATGTCATCAAAAGGAGTAGGAAAACTTCATTTTATTGATGGAAATGTGGATACAAAGAAATATTTGGCAATTTTAGAATAATCGCTTTTACCAGTGATGGAAGAATGTTTGACATCCGGCCAAGATTTTGTGTTTCAGCAAGATGTGCAGCGTGCCATACCTCAAAAAAGGCTATAAAATGGATGGAAGAAAATAATGTACCACTTTCGAAATGGGTTTCTAGCAGTCCAGATCTGTCACCTATTGAAACTTTGTGGCACGAGATGAAAAAGGTTCTACGATAACATCCTGCTCGTACAATCACCGAACTGAGACAAAAGCTTCAAGAAATATGGGATTGTTTTACACCAAATTTTTGCCAAAACTTGGTTAACACTATGCCCTAAAGAATTTCAGCCGTAATAAAAACTAAAGGTGATGCTACCCAACGGTAATCTTTCAATTGTTGCTTTGTTAACTTCGCGCATTTATTCGCACATTGTTTATTTGTTCAGATGTTCTACTAGTTATAGGTCTAACTGATTTCAATATGTATTTTTTACGACTACAGTGTATCTAAAATGTTTTGGAGAAAATAAATTGTTTTAGAAGAATATAGTTTATAATAAAGGCATATTTTGGTACAAATCTTGAAGTGCGCCAACTGAAGTGGGAAGAGGCTCGTATATGTGTATTTTCATAATAATTTTGTGAATACGAGGATCGTTTCAAAAATAAGGTTTCCAGGTATCCACATTTTTTCCGACACAAGGAATTCTTTATTCGAAAAAACAAATCGGCCATTGGAAACGTTGATTCTTGAGCTATTTTTCTCCATAGTCGCAATTTTTTACTACGCATTTTTATTTTATCAACTTGGTATCTGTTTCTTGAAACTCCTCGTTCGTCTCGAACCGTTGACCGCCTAGGTGCTCCTTCAATTTCGGACACGCTACGCTTTTTTACTATAATTGATTGTTTTTGATATGTATGTCATTTTTAACACAAATTCTTATATATTTTGAGAATAAAGAAACTTTTCTCGGTGCATCCATACCTCGTGTAAAAGCAATTCCAAAGAATGCGGGAAATAAGGTAAACCCATACAACTACGAGCTATTTCCCAAGCGTGATATCCTAAGTTTCTCCTAATTAATTGTCTTAAAATCTGATGCAGGTACACTTGGCTCTGAAAAAATTATGTATAAAAATCGCATCGACTAGAAGCATAGTTGAACTCACAGTTCTTTGTAAAACACAAAATGGCAGCGAAAATGGTGAATTGGTATCCGAAGTATAGAGTACTGTATCATTTTCAGCACCTAATATTATTGCATCCTCAAAAAGTATTGCTGAAAAATACGATTATTATCGCAAAATAAAGGGTTGTCCAATAGGGACGCAGGAAAGTAAACGTCAATTTGACATAGACGCCATCTTTGTTTTCTGTCACCGACATGTCATTTTGTTAGATGAATGTTTACCATTGATCGCTATGGAGTCGTATTCGATTGAAGACCGCATTAAAGTTATCCAAGAGCACTACAAAAATGGTGCAAAAATAAAAAACACGTTTCGCGCGCTTCGTGAACATTTCGGTCGCCACAACCGCCCAAACGAAACAACCATCGGTCGTCTGGTGCGTAAATTCGAGGCAACAGGTTCTGTGCCAAATCCGGCCAAGGAGCGTTCGCACACAGGAAAATATTGCTGTTGTGAAGGAGAGTGTGAGAGACGATCCGAAACAATCAACAACGCGTCGATCCCAAGAATTGGGCATTTCGAGAACCAGTTTGCTCCGCATTCTCCACAAGGATTTGAATGTACAAGATCCAATTGACGCAAGAGCTGCGTCGGGCCGACCATTTCTCGCGCCGAACGTTCTCAGATTGGCTCCTTGAACAACGCCAAATTGATGCCAATTTTTCATCAAAAATCATGTTCAGCGACGGAGCGCATTTCACTTTGAATGGGACGGTAAACAAGTAAAACCGCCGCATGTGGGCGAACGAAAATCCCCGTGAGTATCAAGAGCAGCCGATGCATCCTCAAAAAGTGACTGTGTGGTGTGCATTGTGGTCAAAAGGCATCATCGGACCTTACTTTTTCGAAAATGCGGCAGCGGACGCCGTTACCGTCAATTCTGAGCGATATCACGTGATGATAGAGGACTATTTTTGCCGCAACTTGAAGGAATGGATATGGACGATGTTTATTTCCAACAAGACGGTGCAACATGCCACACAACCAACGTCAATATCCATCGATTGCAGTCCTTCTTCGGTGATCGCGTGATTTCGCGCAGAGGAAATGTGCCATGGCCACCAAGATCGTGCGATTTGACTCCCTTGGACTTCTTTTTATGGGGATATTTGAAAAGCAAAGTCTACGTCAACAAACCAGCCACCCTCCAAGAACTCAAAAACAACATCATTGCCGAGATAAATGCCATAGAACCGACCATGTTGCAAAATGTCATTGAAAATTTCGACCATCGCGTGGACGTCTGTAAATCCAGTCGTGGTGAACATTTGAGCGATATTATTTTTCATACATAAATGGTATAAATGAACCTTCAAAATAAAGCACCCAACTTGATTTGAATATCAATCTTTCTTGTTTTAATATGCGTTTACTTTCCTGCTTCCGTTTTGGACAACCCCATATAATAATATAACTACGTATTTATATCCTGTATACAGATTAGCGCAACGAAAAGGTCGCACCGCTATTTATGATTCTCCTGGTACATTCTTTCTAGTCACAAATGGAGTGCGACCTTTTCGTTGGACCACCCTGTATAAAAGCGAGTCGCTCACCTAATGGGTATATCTTCAATTGGAAAGGCAACATAATCCGTTTGCTCATAAACGTATGCGATTTATCTCCATCCCTGGGGTATAATGGTAACCATACTCGCATCCCGTGAGCACCACAAAATAACCATAAGCTTTCGGTAAGGTGTGGCTGAAATAACAATGTTGTGTCAGCACCATATCATACAGGGTGTAAACGTTATGATAGTCATTATTTGAATGGGTGATAGAGGGGGTTAACATGGGGGCAAAACGGCATTTTTTTAGAGAAAAGCGACTTTAAAGTAAAATAAGACGGAACGCAGTGTAAATAAAGATTGAGTTTGTTATTTTTGGCTCTTAGGTATTATTTCATTATTTGATGATGTACTCGTAAAATGCAAACAATTCGCTTCACCTGGTGTATGAAAGTTTATTGAACATATTAAAGAAATCCACTTATAAATAGGGAACACAAAACACATACACTGTTTTTCTTAAAACCCACACTGCACTTTTTTGTATTTAAAGAAGGTGTTCAAAATGTCGTCCTCCACTTTCCACACAAGCTTCATTACGACGAACCCAGTTTCTTCTTACTCTAGGTCCTCGAAGTTGGCCATTTATTATTTCAGCCGCATTAAATTTTTTTTCGCGAAGTTGTGCTTCAGTTGTTGTTGGACCAGCCCCATAAACCATCCCTTTAAGTTCTCCCCAATACCAGAAATCCATCGGATTGAGGTCAGGAGATCTTGCTGGCCATTTTCGAGGATCAGGAGCATTTCGACCGATCCAGCGACTTGGATAATGTTCATTCAAATACTGACTGACGCCTCTAAAAATTTGTGGTGGTGCCCCGTCATGAAGAAACCACAAATTCTGTCTCCGTTGTAATGGCATGTTGTCTAAGGTCTGTTCCAAAAGTTCTGGTAGGTTATTGGCTAGAAAGCTAAGGTATCCTTCTCCTGAAAACTTTGGGGGCCAATTAACTGATCGTCAAGAATACACGCCCAAATATTTATTTTAAAACGTTGTTGGAAATGACCTTCACGAATGGTATGAGGATTTTCTTGGGCCCACGTGTGAGTATTATGGAAATTTAATAGCCCGTCTCGCGTAAAAATAAATTCGTCCGTCGCTAGAATGTTTTTAAAAAATCCGGATTTTCAATGTTTTTGTGCAAAAACCACTGACAGAATGTTAGTCTGCGAGGATAGTCTTCTGGTAACAAGGCCTGCACTCGTTGTACATGGTAGGGATAAAGCAAATTTTCCCGTAGGATTCTATGGACTATGGTCCTATGCGGCGGCCTAATTCACAAGTGCTGATATCTGCATTGATTTCCACGATATTTAAAATTTGTTCCTCCTGCTCTACAGTAACCTGTCTTTCAGTGCGAATATTAGTGGGATGAACACTTCCTGTATCTCGAAGTATTTCGTACACTTGCACAAATATCCTATCTGGGTGTACCCGTTGGCGACCTCTGTATACAGGGTTATCCAAATTAAGTGTCCACCATTAGTAACTTTGTTATTAGTGAAAATACAAAGTTGTTTGAATTAGCAAACTAGTAGCATTTTTAACGCTGGTAAAAATGAGAAATAAAAAAAACAATTGAGAGTCGTTATTTTGATTTTTTTCAGTAAAATAACATTTTTTTAAATGGAAACCCCTGTATATTATATTTTTTTCTGTTAAAGCATCAAATTTTAAACAAAAAAGTTCATAATGACTTTTCCGCTAAAGTCAAAAATAAAGTCAAAATAACGATAAATATTTTTAATTATTTGCAGTATTATAATATTAAGACGGCTATGAAAACAACATGGCGTTCGCGATTTGACAGCATTAAGATAAGCGACAAATTGTTAAACTGGACATACTCGCAACTAGAAGGCTTTGGAAAACAATGATAAAATCAAATAATGTCAAACATTAGTGTAAATACTTGTTTATAAGATTTATTGTGTCATTAATTTAAAGAAAAATGTTCTCCCATGAAGAAAAGTGTGATATGTGCTATTTAGTGTGCAGAAAATCCTCCTTGAGAGCAAGAGAATACTACAGTGAATTATATCCCGCTCGCATTCAACCGTATGAACGATATTTTCTGAGACTTTATCGAAAATTTAGGGGCAACGAAAATGTTTTTGCTAAAACAAGGGCAAAAAAAGAATTCATAATAAGCGAGGCCACGGAAATTGCAGTTATTGGATATTTTGAAGCTTATCGTGAGAATTCAATAGCAGATATTCTCAAAGACTCTAATTTCAGTTATGGTACTGTTCAAAGGATTTTAAAAAAATACAAATTTCTTCCGTATAAGTACCGACCAGTTCAAACGCTTTTGGCAGGGGATCCAGAGAGAAGACTTGGTTTTTGCCATTGGTATCTTAGCTTCTGTCGCCAAAATGTAAATAACTTTCGTTACCTTTTATGGACAGATGAATCAAATTTTTCAAATTCTGGAATGTTTAATAGAAAAAACCACCATTATTGGATCTTATAAGTAGACATCATCTGCATTTTCAGCAAGATGGCGCACCTGCCCACAACTCCAGAGGTACTTATCATTTTATAAGTACTACTTTTAATGATCAGTGGATAGGAACAAATGGCCCAATACAGTGGCCTCCCAGATCACCAGATCTAAACCCACTTGATTACTTCTTGTGGGGTTACTTAAAGAACCAAATTTACAAGCGAAGGTACGATAACCTTGACGCGTTAAAGACTGCAGTTAGGGAAAAGATAACCCAGATAGATGGTAGGACCATACTTAAGACAGTTCGAGCAGTTGAAAAACGTGCCCAAAAATGTATTGAAGAACAAGGTGGTGTTTTCGAGCATCTTCTTTAAAAAAAATTGTTATTGTATTTTGTAAGATTATAAGTTGATGTTGAAAATAAAGTTTGTCGATACAATTTAATTGTTTCAGATTGGAGGCCATAACTTCAACAATTTGTAACCTAGGAGAAAAGTTATTGTAAGCTTTTTTGTTTAAAATTTGATGCTTTAACAGAAAAAAATATAATATACAGGGGTTTCCATTTAAAAAAATGTTATTTTACTGAAAAAAATCAAAATAACGACTCTCAATTGTTTTTTTTATTTCTCATTTTTACCAGCGTTAAAAATGCTACTAGTTTGCTAATTCAAACAACTTTGTATTTTCACTAATAACAAAGTTACTAATGGTGGACACTTAATTTGGATAACCCTGTATAAATAAAAAACACGACGACGTACGCGAACAAAAACAAAACAACGAACTAACCACTGTTACCGTTTGCGATCGATTGCCGGTTCGATAGGAGTGATGAAAAACCGACGCGCTGTAGTCACGTGTGTTTTAAATATTTAATTTAATGAAATTTACTTACTGACTACAAATTTTGGCTTAACTTAAAAAAACTTAATGAAATTTATTTGTTAATTACCCAATTTAAAAACGTTTTAGATCAGATTATAAAAATTAGTAAGATTGTGGCCGATATGAAGCACTTAAAGTTGTAAACTATAAAGTCAATTAGACAAAAACCTATTGACTTTTGGTCTATGGGAACATATGACTTGTTTTGACCTCCCCTATTACCCATTTCAATAATGACTATCGTAACGTTTACACCCAGTATAAATAACTAGTTAATTCTTAATTCTAGCAGTAAGTTTTTGACAATTCGGAAGTGTATTTTTTTTGTCAAAGTGGACCAGTTTATCTTATAAAACACGGCTCTGGAAAACCACTGCATAATTGTATTTGCGAGCTTTTCCTAATTGAACCTAAGCTTCAACCCCGTATAATATTCTCAATAAATAATAATAATAATAATAATAATAATATTTATTTACTCTAAAATACAGGGAACATGAAACGAGTAAATAAATATAATATATCCATAGGAGGACAACGCCTGTGCATGGATCATATGTATGTTGAATTGCAAAATATAATAAAATAGAGAGAAAAAAGAAATTATTGGTAAGAATGGTAGAGCATTTATTGTGTAATATTTGAGATTATTTTATTAATTTGATTTCTCCCAATCGTGTTAATAAATTTTTTTAATTTTTTTTTGAAGCCTAATGTATTGCGTAATTGTTTTAAATTATTTGGTAAATGTTCGTACAATTTTGGAGCTATATACAGGTGACATCGTTTCATTAGGGATTTGTTTGGTTTAGGAACATTTTTTGCGCGTAATTTATATCTGGTTTTATGATTATGTTTAATTATGTCGTGTTCACTAATAGTTTTGTGATAATGAGTGATGGTATGTAAGAAGTAAAGTTGTTTAGTATCATATACTTGTGCATCATTATATAAGTCATTAGTTGGGTATAATTTTGATTTGCCTAACATTGATTTTAAAATTCTTCTTTGAAGTACATCTAAATCGTTAAAGTATGTCGTGCATGCAGCACCCCACACTACTATACCATATGTTATGTGTGGCTCGACTAAAGCTTGATATATTATTCGTAGATAATATTCAGTTAATATACCGGTTAGAAATTTTATTTTATATGCTATGAATCTAATTTTCTTTAGTATGTGAGAAATATGTACATCCCATCTCAAGTAGGGAACTAGATAAATTCCTAAATATTTTGTATCATTAACTCTATTGATTTTTATATTTTTATCATTTACCTTAAACCGAAGGTGGTTATATTTTGGTAGATGATTAGATAGTGATGAAAATGGTAAAAAATGAGTTTTAGTAAAGTTAATTGTTAATTTTCGGTTATTAAACCACTGAATAATTTTGCAAACGTCATTTTGGATAATATCTTTTAAGTCGTTCCAATCCTTACCTTTATAGAGTATAGCAGTATCGTCTGCAAAACTGACTATTTTACCAGTACTGTTAATTTTGAATATATCGTTTAAATAAATATTGAATAACAGAGGACCCAAAATTGTACCTTGTGGAACACCACATTTAACAAACATTTCTTTACTATACGAGCTTAATAATTTTACTGATTGCGGTCTATTTGATAAATAATTTTCCATTAAAGTATACATCTTTCCACGAAAACCTATTCTTTCTAAGATTTCCAAAAGTATATTGTGGTTAACTGTGTCAAACGCTTTTTGTAAGTCCACAAATACGCATATCGATGGTACTTTTCCATCTATATTTTGGGTTATTTCATCTACTATACTTAATACCCCATGTTGTAGATTTGCCCGCTATAAAACCATATTGATTTGAATTTAGAATTTTGAATTTATTAAGAAAATTAATCATTTTATTAAGGAGTAATTTCTCAAAAACTTTAGCTAAACTTGATATAAGTGAAATAGGTCGATAGTTAGTGACGTCCGTATTATCATTAGATTTATAGATAGGTATGATGATTGCTGTCTTGAAAGCTGATGGAAATACTCCAGATTGGAAGGATTTGTTAATGATATAAGCAAGTGGTTCTGTTATTTGTTTGGCCAGTATCTTTAGATGTTCAGCTCTAATTTCGTCAACTCCAGGGCTTTTTCTATTTTTTAGAGTCATAATGGCATTGAAAACATCCTGATAGTCTACTTCAGTTAATACAAATGAATTATTCAGTCTTGTTTCATGCAGATGAATATCAGCATTTTGTTTGATATTATTTGCTAAGTTTCCTCCTATATTTGTGAAAAATTCTATGAACTCATCACATATTTCCTGAATATTGTCTGTTTTCTGTCCTGTTGTTGTTTTTATTTCATTAATATTGTTTTTTGAATAGGATGACTTATTGAATATATCATTGACAGTGGACCATAGGTGTCTAGTGTCATGTGAATTATTATTCAATTGTTTTATATAGTAATTTTTTTTTGCTTTTCTCAAAAGTTCTATAAATTTGTTTTTATACTGATTATAATGATCTATATTTTCTTTCGTGGGTAAATATTTCATGATTTTATACAGTCTTTCTTTTTCGTTTGCAGATTTTATTAGTCCTTTGGTTATCCAATCATTTCTGCTTTTTTTCTTGTGACTTATTTTAACCTTATTAGTACTAACTTCAATTACTTTTTGAATTTTGTGTATTAATAAATTTGTAGCTTCGTCTAAAATAATACGGTACCTTATCGGCCCTCCTTTTTCCGGGCACCCAAACATTTTCCACGCATCCGGCCAACACGACCGGCATCAAGCATCTGCCATCTCCTCCTTCTCTCACCTCCCTTTTGACCAGTACCAATCTGCCGGCTGCGTTCAGCACCATGCCGTCGCACGCTTGACCTCGATGCTGACCTCTCTGCTGCTGCGTCACCGACGTCAGAGTGACGGAAGTGACGCACGCTGGGTGAACGGCCAGCGCGGACACGTCCACCGATTGCAGTTTGGTCACGGTTACGTCTCCAGCTGGAGAATAAAATAATAATAATAATAACCGTTTATTGCCCAACAGTTGAACACCATTTATATACAGCGTGTTTCACTTCATTGTTGCATAACTTTAAGATTCGATAGAACTTTTAAAATTAATGCATAAAGTCTATATAAACATGGGTCGAAAAATGCGTGGCTTCCGAAATACAGGGTGTTTAAAATTACTTTCTAAAATAGTTTTTTTTAAATATTTCGAACAATCTTTGATGTATAACAGTCAAAATTGGTATACAAGGGTTTTTTGGTACGACAAAACGAACCATGGGCATAGTTTTACTGTAGCCGCTAGAGGGCGCTCTCTACTGTACCTGTAGTGTATTAAAATGACCGAAAATTTTTTCTTAGTGCAATTTTTTGCTTATTGAATAAAAAAACTGATTCTTCGCACTTTTCTGCTTAAAAAAGCTCTCTTGTGAGTCTTCGTTATAGTTAGCCGTTTTTGAGATATTTCGATTTTTAAGGTTCGATGCATTTTTAATTATTTATGGGAAAATAATATTTTTTTTACATTTTCGATTTGGGCATTACAAGTAATTAAGATGATCGTTTAGATTGTGTTTTTAAACACAGCAATAATTCCTAACTCCAAATAAACACAAAAAAACAATATTAATTTGTTTAATTTTCCAATATTATTTTTAACAAATTACATTAATTATTTACAACTAAAATGCTATTGGATAGTTAGGACAAACATACAAAATCTAAACTAGTTGCTCGAAATGTAAACCCAATTGTTTAATACACAATTCACGTCTACGAATGATCGAACGTGGTATAGCATTATTCAAATAAGGCCTTATTTCATCACATGCATTCCTGATTCTGTCTATCAGCATATCTCTTGTGGTTACGGGAGTCTGGTACACTTTTTCTTTTAGAAATCCCCACACAAAGAAATCTAATGGATTTAGGTCAGGGGATCGTGGAGGCCAGGCGACTGGTCCTCCACGGCCGATCCATCTTTCTGGATAATTTTCGTCCAGCCAGTTTCTAACTATTCTCGAATAATGAGCTGGACAACCATCAATCTGGAACCACGCCAATCTTCTTAAATCTAACATAACATCATCCCACATATTTGCATGTTCAGCCTTCAAAAATTCCAAGAAGGTCGCAGCATTTAACCTTGCAGGTAAAAGGTAGGGTCCCAATAGTAGATTACGGTAGATACACGTTCACACTAAATTCATGCTGAAAATTTCTTTCCCGAACTGCATGCGGATTTTCATGCGACCAAATATGTTGATTATGAAAATTTACCACTCCACGTCTAGTGAAGCATGACTCATCGGTCCATAAAACGTTACTTAAAAACTCCCTATTATTATCAGTTCTAGCAAGAATCCACTGACAAAATGTGGTTCTTCGTTCTCCGTCCTCTGGCTGTAGTCCTTGCACAGGTTGCAAATGGTAAGGACGTCTATGGTCATTTCTAAGAACACGGTGAACATGGCTTGCTGAAATTCCCAAGGCACCAGAAACTCTCCTAACACTTGTGGTCGGATCTCTATCAAACTCACGCAGAATCATACGGGTAAATCTGCGCTGACGAACATTTATGTTTTGATCCCTTTGGAGATTTCCAAAAGCATTTTTAATTATTTGGCGATGCACTCTTACAAATACTGAGCGAGTTGGATGTCGTCTGTTTGGAAATCTTCGTGCGTATTCTCTGGCTGCTTCTGCTGCGTTTCCATTTACAAAGCCATACGCAAAATGAATATCCGCTAACTCTTGATTGGAGAATAAAAATGGCATTTTAATAAAACTTACAAAAAAAAAAACAGGTAAAAGAAACTGAATTTCGTGCATTCACAATTGCAAAAAACGTTTCATTTTTCAACAGACAACAAAACTAACTGTCAACTAATTGACGTTAAACCTTATTCTGCTTTCAATTTCAAAAATATTTGCAGGCACAGCCTACTTCTAAAAATTATCGAGATACTGACTTTTTAACGTTATTTTATCATAAATAATTAAAAATGCATCGAACCTTAAAAATCGAAATATCTCAAAAACGGCTAACTATAACGAAAATTCACAAGAGAGCTTTTTTATGTTGAAAAGTGCGAAGAATCAGTTTTTTTATTCAAAAAGCAAAAAATTGCACTAAGAAAAATTTTTCGGTCATTTTAATACACTACAGGTACAGTAGAGAGCGCCCTCTAGCGGCTACAGTAAAACTATGCCCATGTTTCGTTTTGTCATACCAAAAAACCCTTGTATACCAATTTTGACTGTTATACATCAAATATTGTTCGAAATATTTAAAAAAAACTATTTTAGAAAGTAATTTTAAACACCCTGTATTTCGGAAGCCACGCATTTTTCGACCCATGTTTATATAGACTTTATGCATTAATTTTAAAAGTTCTATCGAATCTTAAAGTTATGCAACAATAAACTGAAACACCCTGTATATTTTGAAAAAACCTACAAATTCCGTAAATCAAGAGAAAAAAATATAGCTATAACTAAACAGTAAAAAAGGTATGAAAAATCACAAATGAGCTCGCAGTTTGCACTTCAGTACATCTAAGCTACAAAAAATATGTCGCATACGTCGGCTATTTTATTAGCATTCACACACATCATGTTAATATGCGCTTTTGACAGTAAATTCTTTTGTGCTATTTGGCACAAGAAAGGAACATTTTATCTTGAAGCTATTACTGGTACCAGAAACTGTATTTGATAAAGTATTGAAGCAGATTCTATCAGACGATGCAGCAATTTGTATAAAATTATAACTGCCGATTGTTTGCGGCGCTGTTCTAAGGACTGAAAGCCAAATTTATAAAGGAACATATTCTGTACCTCTAGTAGGACACATGACATATCCTAAAACATAAAAATTTTTAAAATTTCTTTTGAAATTTCTCGACAGCATCAATATGTAGCGTGTAAATCGGACTCCATATTCCTGACCAAGCTGAAGTATGAATTCTGTAATGTCGAAGTGTTAAAATGTTTAGAATTCGTGATAACAACGCCAGAGGTTCGATAAGCGTTTGTAATAATTTGATTAATATATCCATTGAAGGTCAGTTGTTGATCAAAGTAGATGCCTAAATCTTTTACAGATTCGCTACACTCAAGAAAACATAAAACTGGAAATAAATTTCAAAAACAATCAGAAACCTAACAAAAACAAAATTGAGTTGTGGTTTTGAAACATCGTATTAACTAGAGAGGAATTCTAAGCGTCACGGACTGACAATCAGACTACGTTTTTCGAGATTTTCTGACATACTGTTTAAAAAGCATTACAGTTTTTTTGTTTGTTGAATATTTATTTAGCATTAATGCTACAATGTCATTTTTGTATAATTATTCGTTTACACATTTTTCTGAATCCATTTTATGTAATTTTACATTGTCTATTAAAATTACATTTATATTTTGAGTATTCATAAAGTGATTTTTTAATTTCACCTTAAGCATTTTTAAATTCGAACACTGTTTAATATCGTTTAAAAAATTTATTAAATTTAAATACTCCCCTTTGAAATACAGATTTGCTAGTTATGCTACTACATATTACAATTTTGCAGATGAAAATCTATACTGCCTCTAGTTTCGTAGTTATGATAATGACTATTTAACTTCTTTGTGAAGGTTTCTAAATGTGGTGGTAATAAATTATTTGTTAATTTGAATTTGAAAATGAGAACTAAATAACGTATGGAATTTTTTACATTCAACCTCTGTAGTTCTTTTAACGTAGACTTAATCGCAGTATCTTTGTTTTTATTTAATATGTTTCTTATAGCAATATTTGTAATTCTGAAATTATGTTTTCATTTACTGTAACAATAACACTGATCAACAGCCAAAAAATATCCTAAATAAAATCAACAAAATATTACTATTTTTAATGTGCTAAAACCGGAATGAAACTTATTTTTTCAATATTAGTTCAAGTTTTAGAGATACGGTAATTATATGTGTTCCTGCTGTGACAGTGTTAATATACTGTAATTCACAAGAATGCACGTGCTACATTTTTATATTCGGCAAGGAAAGATGATGTAATCGGCAAGATTGTGTTGGCTGACAGCGTTCATGCAAGATGTCTCGAAAGTGTGTAAACAATCCAGATCAGTTTTGTTACGTGTGTGGTGATGTGACTTTTGCGTCTCAGAGACGGTCTATTACTCCACTAATAACAAAGGCATATCAGCTTTATTTCGGTTGTAAACTAGGTGATCAAGACAAACAGTGGGCACCCCACATCTGCTGTAATACATGTGCTTCAAGTCTGAGGAGCTGGTTAAATGGCAAAAAACGGTCTATGCGCTTTGCTGTCCCAATGGTTTGGAGAGAGTCTACAAATCATATTAATGATTGTTACTTTTGCATGGTACCTTGTGTTGGACAAGCCACAGGTATGTCCAAGAAAAAAAGATCGGTTATTAACTACCCAAACATACCATCTGCGATGAGACCTGTGCCTCACAGTGACGAAAATCCTATTCCAAAACCCCCAGAATCCTACACTTGCGAATCAGAAAACGAATCAGATCATGGCGATCGAGTGATTCGTCAGGAAGAAGATATGCCATCAACGTCAAGAGATCTTGATTTTATACCGAGCACGTCATGCCACCAGCCGCACAAAATAACACAGTCAGAACTAAATGATCTTGTAAGAGATTTAGAACTTCCAAAATGTAAGGCAGAGTTACTTGGATCAAGACTGCAGCAGTGGAACTTGTTAGAAGACGATTTTTCGGTATGTGTTTTTCGTAAACGCCACAAAGACTTAGAACCATTTTTCAATATGGAGAATAACTTGGTTTTCTGCAGTAACATTAACGGCTTACTGGCGGCTTTAAATATAAACTATAACCCAGAAGAATGGATATTGTTTATAGACAGTTCAACATCGAGTTTAAAGGCAGTGTTATTGCATATTGGAAATATTTTATCATCTCTTCCTGTAGGGTATGCAGTTCACATGAAAGAATCATATGACAATATGAAGTACCTATTGACATGCATAAAATACGATGAGCACCAATGGCATATTTGTGGCGATTTGAAAGTTGTTGCATTTTTACTTGGGCTGCAGCTAGGCTACACAAAGTTTTGCTGTTTTTTGTGTGAATGGGACAGTCGGGCAAAGGCACTTCATTACACCAGACAAAACTGGCCTGTTCGTCAATTCCTAGAGCCGGGTCAAAAAAATGTACAGCATATGCCATTAGTAGATTCGAAAAAATTGTTATTACCACCACTGCATATCAAGTTGGGTCTAATGAAAAACTTTGTAAAGGCATTAGATAGAGTCGGGTCAGCTTTTCAATACCTGCGTCAGAAATTTCCAAGACTAAGTGAGGCAAAGGTTAAAGAAGGTATTTTTGTTGGGCCACAGATTCGAAATATTTTGAAAGATACACAGTTTGAAAACACTTTAACAGGTATTGAAAAAACTGCTTGGAATGATTTCCGTTTGGTGGTCACTAATTTCTTGGGAAATAAAAAAGCTGACAACTATAAAACCCTTGTCAAAAATATGCTGTCATCGTATCAAAAGATGGGCTGTAATATGTCTCTTAAGATACATTTCCTACACTCACACCTGGACTTTTTTCCTGACAATTGCGGAGCCGTAAGTGATGAGCACGGCGAACGTTTTTATCAGGATATTTCAACAATGGAAAAAAGGTACCAGGGAAAGTGGAATCCTTCCATGCTTGCAGACTACTGTTGGACTCTTGGTAGAGATGCTCCAGAAACGATCCATAAAAGAACAGCAAAAAGACAGCGCATATAGTGATTCTTATAAGTATATGAATCTTGTTACTTTTTTTAATATATCCTTAAAAACAAAAAGTTTTTTATCTAAACCGCAACTAATTTTTTTATTTCATTGTCATTTTTGGATTCAGCGCCCCAAAATTAACAAAGAAGTGCACTTTTCCCACAAGATACAATTAAAAAACTAAAATTTGTTGTCCAGTGTAATCGGCCGCATATTTTGATACTGTTCAGAATGTTGAACTTTTTGCGCAGGAGCAATGATGGAAAACTTTAATTTTAATGGGAATTTACCATGTAATGACCAATGATTCACCAATAATAATAATTTCTCTCCAATTATATTGAAACAATCATTTAGAATCCTTTCTGAGAGATTCTCACTTGGAATTTTATTAGATTTCAACTTGAAGATAGCTTTTCTTAGATTGTTGATGTTTACTGGCCTAAATTGATTCATTGATGAATTATGATATACTTGAAATATTGGAAAACATACCCATATCGTTCTGTTGTAGCGACCAAACGCACACTTGAGCATCTGAGCTGAAAGTTATCAGCTGGTCTTGAAGTATATTTATGAGTAGCACCGGTGCGGACACGGATACTATTTTTGCAAATTTGTTATCTAACTTTGCATCCCTTGGGTAAAACCTGTAACAAAAGTACGAGGGATGACTTTTTAGTAGGCCGCGAGGATCGAGCGTCAGTACTGAATCTTCACTCTTTAGTAAACTTAAATTCAAAGTTTCACAACAATGCGTGCAGTGTTCCCACTACAGTGAATTTTTAAGTATCACACCAAGTCATTAAAAAATGGGACTCAACCGAGACCATTTTCGCGCCATAATTTATTACAACTTTCAGAGACAATTATCGCAACAAGAATGCCTTGCTGAGTTACTGTCTGTTTTCGGCAACGAAGCGCCACATCAGTCGACAATTTCCCGTTGGTATGGAGAATTCAAACGTGGACGGGTGAGTCTTAGCGACGATCCCAGGGTGGGTGCCCCAAAAACGGCAGTCACCCAGGAAAACGTCGATGCTGTGCGTAAACTTATCATTGAAGATAGACATGTGACATATCGCGAGATTGAGGCGTCCTTGAAGATCTCAAAGACCTCAATTTAAAAAAATTTACATAAGGTAAGAAAATTAGTTTCTCGTTGGATACCCCACCTGTTGACTGAAGAGCAGAAAGCAGCCAGGGTTAATTGGTGTCAAAAAACGCTTGACCATTTCAATTCCGGAAACTCAAAAAATGTGTACAGCATTGTTAGTGGTGATGAATAGTAGATTAGAAAATAAATGACAGTCGGCTGTTTGGGTGTTCCAAGGTGAAGAAAAGCCAACAAAAGTCATCCGTTCTCGAAGTGTTTCGAAAAAGATGGTCGCGACATTTGTGCCAAAAGCGGGTCATATTGCAACAATTCCTCTTAATGAGCAAAGGACTGTTACTGCGGATTTGTATACCACCATTTGTTTGCCAAACGTCATCACCGAGCTTCGAAAAATCAACCCCGAAAGACGAATCATCCTCCACCAAGACAATGCAAGCTCGCACTCAGCCCAAAAAACAAGGCAGTATTTAACGGAAGAAAACGTGGAATTATTGGACCATCCTCCATATAGTCGCGATCTAAGTCGTAACGATTTCTTTACTTTCCCGAAAATTAAAAACAAACTGCGTAGTCAAAGGTTCCAGACACCAGAAGAAACAGTGCCGTTTTGGATCTGCCAGCAAACGATTGGAATAAGTGCTTTGAAAATTGGTTCGAGCGCATGCAGATGTGTATTAATCTTCGTAGAGAATACTTCGAAAAACAATAAAGTCATTCAAAACTACCTACGGTGTTGTTTTATTTCCATATGCAAAACTTAAAAGACATCCCTCGTATATTAAATCTAGGTGTGATATTGATCCAATTTGGTTAATATTTGACATCGCTACATCGCTGCAGATTTTACAGCGCGTGAGTTTATGTAACGGTGTAAAGATATAAGATATCCTTTGTCTGAAGAATACAATCATTCTTGATGACAAACTTTAAACTATACTAAGTGACATATAAATCCGAACACCCAGTTTAAATGGTTTTATTTTAATAAAAGTTGGTGAATGTATTTATCTTACTGTAAATAACAAGTGAAAAAATTTTCAGCCTTATCAGTTGGACATTCCGGTTTTTATACTGCTTTTTTTTAATTCACTAACGCTCTAGAAATGAATATTTCAGCCGCAGTAAAGAATCAACGTTGGCGGATTTTGGTTCTTTCCCTTACGATCGGTTACGATGCCTAGAGTACGGAGACCTGTACGATTTCGTCAACTTAGTGAGTTTGATAGGGGCCGTATAGTGGGACTTCGGGAAGCTGGACTTTCTTTTCGGGCAATTGCAGTTAGAGTGCAAAGAAGTGTAGACACTGTGGTTAGGTGTTGTCAGGCATGGCTTCGAGAGCAAGGGGCACTGGACGCCGCCGTAGAACAACAGACCGTGAAGATCGCCGCCTAAGATTATTGGCCTTAAGGGACAGTTTCTCCACTACCAGGTCACTTGCAAATGAATGGTTTGCAGAACACGGAAGACCTATTGGCATGCGAAGTGTTTACCGACGAATGAGAAGTTTTGGCTTGTTTTCATACCGGCCACACTGGGTCCTCCCTTTAACTCGAGAACACCGACGTAATCGCCTTGAGTGGTGCAGACAACGGTCACTCTGGGATCAGGAATGGAACAGTATTGTCTTTAGTGACGAGTCTCGATTTTGTTTAGGCATGCACGATGGTCGTGCCAGGGTTAGAAGGCGACGTGGTGAAAGGAGGAATCCACAGTTTTTTGTTGAAAGACATGTTCATCACACTGTTGGAGTTATGGTTTGGGGTGCTATAGCTTATGGTTCCAGGTCACCTTTAATCTTCATCAGAGGTAACATGAACGCGCAGCATTATATCCACGAAGTTCTAGAACCCCTCTTTTACCATATCTTGACACCCTGGAAGATCCAACTTTCCAACAAGATAATGCCTGACCACATGTTGCAAGAGTCACAATAGACTTCTTTCAACATAATGATGTCACATTGTTACCATGGCCACCAAGATCTCCCGACTTATCCCCAATTGAGCACGTGTGGGATATGATGGGTAGGAGATTGCTCAATTTGCAACGTCCTCCTCAGACTTCGAGAGGAGTTGGTGGTTGCCTGGAATGAGATACCACAGGAGGACATTGACCACCTGATCAGAAGCATGCCTAGGCTCGTTGGAGAATGCGTAGCACATCAGGGTGCATCCACACATTATTAAAGGTCAAAGGGCTTTAAAGCAGTGCAATCATTTTGAGATTTTTATCATTTACTTATTATGCTTCATTAAGTACTTATACAAAATTTTATTAAAATAAAACCATTTAAACTGGCTATTCGGATTTATATGTGACAGGGCGTTTTCAAAGTTGAGTCATTCATTTTAACTGCTTGTAGGACTCGTCAACAGGAGTTGATATACCAAAAATCTCCTGTGTACAAGTTGCGTAATAAAAGAAATAGTATGAGATTAAACATTTTAAAAAACGATGTATCATAGATATCTCTGAGTTGTTTTAGACTGCCATCTTCGTTGGTATGAACAAATCCAATACATTAAAAAGAAACTTAGATTTCTGGTATATAAATTCAGATGTTAGCGACAAATATCCAATGAAACACATAACCTATTATCAGGGGATCCAAAAATAATCGCCATCTAAATTCTTTACAAATAATACAAAAACTATTCATAAAAACAATTAATAACAAACCTTTACTATATCCTTACAAATTGATGTTTATAGAATCAAAACTTTTATATATAAAAAAATTATTTTGGTATAATATACAGGGTGGCCCATCCATGTGTGGACGGAATATTACTCATAAACAAATACATTTTGAGAAAATCTTTTAATGGCACCTTATACACGACATGTGAGGGCCCATTTCTAAAATACTGGCAATTATACAGGGTGTCCCAATTTTGACATATACAGGGTTATCCAAATTAAGTGTCCACCATTGGTAACTTTGTTATTAGTAAAAATACAAAGTTGTTTAAATTAGCAAACTAGTAGCATTTTTAACGCTGGCAAAAATGAGAAATAAAAAAAAACAATTGAGAGTCGTTATTTTGATTTTTTTCAGTAAAATAACATTTTTTTAAATGGAAACCCCTGTATATTATATTTTTTTCTGTTAAAGCATCAAATTTTAAACAAAAAAGTTCATAATGACTTTTCCGCTAAAGTCAAAAATAAAGTCAAAATAACGATAAATATTTTTAATTATTTGCAGTATTATAATATTAAGACGGCTATGAAAACAACATGGCGTTCGCGATTTGACAGCATTAAGATAAGCGACAAATTGTTAAACTGGACATACTCGCAACTAGAAGGCTTTGGAAAACAATGATAAAATCAAATAATGTCAAACATTAGTGTAAATACTTGTTTATAAGCTTTATTGTGTCATTAATTTAAAGAAAAATGTTCTGCCATGAAGAAAAGTGTGATATGTTAGAATGCTATTTAGTGTGCAGAAAATCCTCCTTGAGAGCAAGAGTGAATTATATCCCGCTCGCATTCAACCGTATGAACGATATTTTCTGAGACTTTATCGAAAATTTAGGGGCAACGAAAATGTTTTTGCTAAAACAAGGGCAAAAAAAGAATTCAGAATAAGCGAGGCGACGGAAATTGCAGTTATTGGATATTTTGAAGCTTATCGTGAGAATTCAATAGCAGATATTCTCAAGGACTCTAATTTCAGTTATGGTACTGTTCAAAGGATTTTAAAAAAATACAAATTTATTCCGTATAAGTACCGACCAGTTCAAACGCTTTTGGCAGGGGATCCAGAGAGAAGACTTGTTTTTTGCCATTGGTATCTTAGCTTCTGTCGCCAAAATGTAAATAACTTTCGTTACCTTTTATGGACAGATGAATCAAATTTTTCAAATTCTGGAATGTTTAATAGAAAAAACCACCATTATTGGTCAAGAGAAAATCTTTTGTTAGTACATCCAAGAGGCCCACAAGTCCGTTTCAGTTTCAACGTTTGGTGCGGTATAATTGGTTCAAAAATTGTTGGCCCGTTCTTTTATGAGGGAACCCTAACTGGTGAAAGATATGTGGAATTTACGTCAGAAATTCTGACTAATTTCTTAGACGAATTGGATCTTATAAGTAGACATCATCTGCATTTTCAGCAAGATGGCGCACCTGCCCAGAACTCCAGAGGTACTTATCATTTTCTAAGTACTACTTTTAATGATCAGTGGATAGGAACAAATGGCCCAATACAGTGGCCTCCCAGATCACCAGATCTAAACCCACTTGATTACTTCTTGTGGGGTTACTTAAAGAACCAAATTTACAAGCGAAGGTACGATAACCTTGACGCGTTAAAGACTGCAGTTAGGGAAAAGATAACCCAGATAGATGGTAGGACCATACTTAAGACAGTTCGAGCAGTTGAAAAACGTGCCCAAAAATGTATTGAAGAACAAGGTGGTGTTTTCGAGCATCTTCTTTAAAAAAAATTGTTATTGTATTTTGTAAGATTATAAGTTGATGTTGAAAATAAAGTTTGTCGATACAATTTAATTGTTTCAGATTGGAGGCCATAACTTCAACAATTTGTAACCTAGGAGAAAAGTTATTGTGAGCTTTTTTGTTTAAAATTTGATGCTTTAACAGAAAAAAATATAATATACAGGGGTTTCCATTTAAAAAAATGTTATTTTACTGAAAAAAATCAAAATAACGACTCTCAATTGTTTTTTTTTATTTCTCATTTTTACCAGCGTTAAAAATGCTACTAGTTTGCTAATTCAAACAACTTTGTATTTTCACTAATAACAAAGTTACTAATGGTGGACACTTAATTTGGATAACCCTGTATATCAAAGTTGTGATTTCTTAAATGGAATACCTCAATTTTTTTTGCATTTTTGGATAAACCAATTCAAAAGAATAAAATTGATATAACATACTATGGGGTTTTGGTAATTAGCTACTGCGATGTCCAGAAAAACCGTTCACTTCGGCAACCCGTCAATCCGCCATTTTGAAATTTGGAGTGCTGAATTTTGTATAAAAAAAACTTACACGCCTCAGCTTTTATCTTATTGGTTACTTTTTCGAATTTTCATTTTTGCTCATACAGGGTGGTCGAAAACGCACAATACCTTAGTTCATCTCCATTTTCTAGTATACTGTAACACCCCATAATTACATAATCTCTCCACCACAACAGTCCCCCAGCGACTATAAAATCTTTTTCCTGAGTTTCGTTTCCAAACAGCTTCCAACGTCTTGATAGCATAGAATAGTGAGCCAAGCCAGTCCTCCCTGGAATATAACATTTTCGACTACACCAATTATCTTAACAATACCTATTAATATACAGGGTGTTTCAGTTTATTGTTGCATAACTTTAAGATTCGATAGAACTTTTAAAATTAACGCATAAAGTCTATATAAACATGGGTCGAAAAATGCGTGGCTTCCGAAATACAGGGTGTTTAAATTTACTTTCTAAAATAGTTTTTTTAAAATATTTCGAACAATATTTGATGTATAACAGTGAAAATTGGTATACAAGGGTTTTTTGGTACGACAAAACGCAACATGGGCATAGTTTTACTGTAGCCGCTAGAGGGCGCTCTCTACTGTACCTGTAGTGTATTAAAATGACCGAAAAAATTTTCTTAGTAAAATTTTTTGCTTTTTGAATAAAAAAAAATGATTCTTCGCACTTTTCAACATAAAAAAGCTCTCTTGAGAATTTTCGTTATAGTTAGCCGTTTTTGAGATATTTCGATTTTTAAGGTTCGATGCATTTTTAATTATTTATGATAAAATAACGTTAAAAAGTCAGTATCTCGATAATTTTTAGAAGTAGGCTGGGCCTGCAAATATTTTTGAAATTGAAAGCCGAATAAGGTTAAACGTCAATTAGTAGTAAGTAAGTTTTATAAAAATGCCGTTTTTATTCTCCAATCAAGAGTTAGCGGATATTCATTTTGTGTATGGCTTTGTAAATGGAAACGCAGCAGAAGCAGCCAGAGAATACGCACGAAGATTTCCAAACAGACGACATCCAACTCGCTCAGTATTTGTAAGAGTGCATCGCCAAATAACTGAAAATGGTTTTGGAAATCTCCAAAGGGATCAAAACATAAATGTTCGTCAGCGCAGATTTACCTGTATGGTTCTGCGTGAGTTTGATAGAAATCCGACCACAAATGTTAGGAGAGTTTCTGGTGCCTTGGGAATTTCAGCAAGCCATGTGTTCACCGTGCTCTTAGAAATGACCATAGACGTCCTTACCATTTGCAACCTGTGCAAGGACTACAGCCAGGGGACGGAGAAAGAAGAATCACATTTTTTCAGTGGATTCTTGATAGAACTGATAATAATAGGGAGTTTTTAAGTAACGTTTTATGGACCGATGAGTCATGCTTCACTAGACGTGGACTGGTAAATTTTCATAATCAACATATTTGGTCACATGAAAATCCGCATGCAGTTCGGGAAAGAAATTTTCAGCATGAATTTAGTGTGAACGTGTGGATTGGTATCTACCGTAATCGACCCTATCTTTTGCCTGCAAGGTTAAATGCTGCGACCTTCCTGGAATTTTTATGCAAATATGTGGGATGATGTTATGTTAGATTTAAGAAGATTGGCCTGGTTCCAGCTTGATGGTTGTCCAGCTCATTATTCGAGAATAGTTAGAAACTGGCTGGACAAAAATTATCCAGAAAGATGGACGTCCGTGGACGACCAGTCGCCTGGCCTCCACGATCCCATGACCTAAATCCATTAGATTTCTTTGTGTGGGGATTTCTAAAAGAAAAAGTGTACCAGACTCCCGTAACCACAAGAGATATGCTAATAGACAGAATCAGGAATGCATGTGATGAAATAAGGCCTTATTTGAATAATGCTATACCACGTTCGATCATTCGTAGATGTGAATTGTGTATTGAAGAATTGGCTTTACATTTCGAGCAACTACTTTAGATTTTGTATGTTTGTTCTAACTATCCAATAGCATTTTAGTTGTAAATAATTAATTTAATTTGTTAAAAATAATATTGGAAAATTAAGCAAATTAATATTCTGTTTTGTGTGTTTATTTGGAGTTAAGAATTATTGCTGTGTTTAAAAACACAATCTAAACGATCATCTTAATTACTTGTAATGCCCAAATCGAAAATGTAAAAAAAATATTATTTTCCCATAAATAATTAAAAATGCATCGAACCTTAAAAATCGAAATATCTCAAAAACGGCTAACTATAACGAAAATTCACAAGAGAGCTTTTTTATGTTGAAAGGTGCGAAGAATCAGTTTTTTTATTCAAAAAGCAAAAAATTGCACTAAGAAAAAATTTTCGGTCATTTTAATACACTACAGGTACAGTAGAGAGCGCCCTCTAGCGGCTACAGTAAAACTATGCCCATGGTTCGTTTTGTCATACCAAAAAACCCTTATATACCAATGTTCACTGTTATATATCAACTATTGTTCGAAGTATTTAAAAAAACTATTTTAGAAAGTAAATTTAAACACCCTGTATTTCGGAAGCCACGCATTTTTCGACCCATGTTTATATATACTTTATGCATTAATTTTAAAAGTTCGATCGAATCTTAAAGTTATGCAACAATAAACTGAAACACCCTGTATATCCTAGCAAGCAAAAAATATGTCTCGACTACTGCTACTTGAAATCGAACAATTCGGTGCTTACCTGCAACTGCTACATTGAGCCCTTCGGTATCAATTGCTGAATATCTGACGGGCCAATTCGTCGCCGAATACGTCGATGGTACCGGAACCACCAGCCATTGCCTTCCCTCGACTAACGTTGAAGATAACGCGGACATACTCTCGCTGAAAACGTCATCTTTGCCAGACCGATCCGAAAACATTCGGATCAGCGTATCTGCGGAATTGATGTACAGTTTGTCCTCTCCTTGGAGGTAAAGATGACTCTGATGGCTCTGGAAAAGTACGCGGTTAAAAGCGTCTTTAAATTGTTTCATCAAATGAAATGTTTATTATTCTTAGCCCTAAAGCTACTTCCTATAGTTTATAATGTCTTACTCAAGTAATGAACAAAAAAACAGTAATTCTAGATTCCCCTAAAATCATAGTAACTGCAACCACAGTAAATGCAACAATAGCAAATGCGAGATAATGACATACAGTTATCTTAACACAAATAATAGTTGTAGCAGCGTATTTTGTTCTAGGTTAATATTCAGGGCGTTTTCAAAGTTTAGTCATTTATTTTAACTGCGTGTAGGAGTTGATATGCCAAAAATCACCTATACAGGGTGTAAACGTTATGATAGTCATTATTTGAATGGGTGATAGAGGGGGTTAACATGGGGGTCAAAACGGCATTTTTTAGAGAAAAGCGACTTTAAATTAAATTACGCCAGAACGCAGTGTAAATAAAGATGGAGTTTGTTATTTTTGGCTCTTAGGTATTATTTCATTATTTGATAACGTACTCGTAAAATGCAAACAATTAAACAAAACGGACTTACCACTAACTGCCTCAGCACTTCACCTGGTGTGTGAAAGTTTATTGAACGTATTAAAAAAATCCGCTTATAAATAGGGAACACAATTTTGATACATACATTGTTTTAAAGAAGGTGTTCAAAATGTCGTCCTCCACTTTCTACACAAGCTTCATTATGATGAACCCAGTTTCTTCTTACTCTAGGTCCTCGAAGTTGTCCATTTATTATTTCAGCCGCATTAAAAGTTTTTTCGCAAAGTTGTGCTTCAGTTGTTATTGGACATAAACCATCCCTTTAAGTTCTCCACAATACCAGAAATCCATCGGATTGAGGTCAGGAGGTCTTGCTAGCCTTTTTCGAGGATCAGGAGATTTCTACCGATCCAACGATTTGGATAATGTTCATTCAAATACTGAATGACGCCTCTAAAAATGTGTGGTGGTGACCCGTCATGAAGAAACCACAAATTGTGTCTCCCTTGTAATATTAGTGAGCTGAACACTTCCTGTATCTCGAAGTCTTTGGTACACTTGCACAAATGTCCTTCTGTCTGCGTGTACCCGTTGGCGAAATATGGCGCGATAAATTTGAGCTGCAAGATTTGAATTCTGACGAGCTTCACCGTAAACTAACAACTTGTCGGCGAACTCTTGATTCGAGAACATTGTAAATCAACACGCCCGATGCGTGATAACTAACCACTGTTACCGTTTGCGATCGATTGCCGGTTCGATAAGCGTGATGATGACCGACGCGCTGTTGTCATGACTACAAATTTTGGCTTAACTTAGAAAAACTTAATGCCATTTATTTGATAATTACCCAATTTAAAAACGTTTTACATTAGATTATTAAAATTAGTAAGATTTAGACAATTTGGACCATGGGTCATATGAACTTTTTGACCTGTTTTGATCCCCCCTATTACCCGTTTGAATAATGACTACCATAATGTTCACACCCTGTAATAAGGTTGCACAATAAAAGACATAGTAAAAATAAAAATTAAAAAAAAATAAGAATGTTATTACGCAGATTTTTTGATATTCTCGACCACTGCCGTATAAAATCTTAGCGTTTTTTGTTTACTACTCTTATCGTTTATCTAAATTAGTAAACTTTTTGTGTTATTGTATGGTTTTTAGTACGAGTTTTTGGTACAAGATATTCGAAAACGGTTTGAGCAACAAGATTGGCATCCTAGAGATGTGTACCTGTATTTGGAAATATACAGAGTGCTGCACAATTCCGTGACACAACACACTAAGTATTTTTTCTACTTTTTAGTTCGATTTTCTATTAAAGCGTATCTTTTAATTTTGTTGAACTATAATTTATTTTCTGAATTTTTAGTCTCAAAACGACCACTAAAGTACTTATAATCAAGAGCTTTGATTTTTGGTATACTTTTTCTAATTTCCATTTTTTCAAGTTTCGAAATCTTTTTAATTTAAGAATTATTAAATTTCAATATTCAATTTAAAAAAAATCAAATTCGATTTTTTTTCAAAGATTATTGCTACGGCAAATGAAAACATAGCTGATGAAAATCACTTTATATAGAAACAAATATGCTATTTTAGAAGAACTACAGAGGTTGAATATGAAAAAATTCATATGTTATTTAGTTCTCATTTTTATATTCAAATTAAAAAATCATTTATTACCACCACATTTAGAAAACTTCACAAAATTAAATAGTAATTATCATAACTATGAAACTAGAGGCAGTATAGATGTTCATCTGCAAAAATACTGTCATCGGCCGTTGACCCCTGTGAAAATCTTCTTAATCAGACTTCTTGAAATTGGTGAAAATTAGGTTGGAATATCCGTGTTGTAAAGCAAAACTCACCATGCAAGGATTGATAGTCAGAGCACTCTTGATAAAATCAAGATGTATTAGATTCGTTTTGTAGTTTATATCATTCAGTTGATTGCCGTTACTATCACTCCTATCACTTGGTTCGGAAGTATCTTTTTGCACCATCCACAACTGATAACCTTCAGTTGCAAATTCCATAGAAACTATCTAAAAATTGAATAAAGAATATTAAAACACCTCTACTAAACAATCATTCCTTCACATGAGGTTTCAGTTCACCTCCAGAAAAAAAAACATGGAGAATTCTTTATAATGGGTTGTCCAATAGGGACACAGGAAAGTAAACGTCAATTTGACATAGACGCCATCTTTGTTTTCTGTCACCGACATGTCATTTTGTTAGTTGAATGTTTACCATTGATCGCTATGGAGTCGTATCCGATTGAAGACCGCATTAAAGTTATTCAAGAGCACTATAAAAATGGTGCAAAAAAAATGTTTCGCGCGCTTCGTGAACATTTCGGTCGCAACAACCATCGGTCGTCTGGTGCGTAAATTCGAGGCAACAGGTTCTGTGGCAAATCTGCCAGGCTCTGGCCGGCCAAGGAGCGTTCACATACCGGAAAATATTGCTGTTATGAAGGAGAGTGTGAGAGACGATCCGAAACAATCAACAACGCGTCGATCCCAAGAATTGGGCATTTCGAGAACCAGTTTGCTCCGCATTCTCCACAAGGATTTGAATGTACACGCCTACAAGATCCAATTGACGCAAGAGCTGCGTCGGGCCGACTATTTTTCGCGCCGAACGTTCTCAGATTGGCTCCTTGAACACCGCCAAATTGATGCCAATTTTTCATCAAAAATCATGTTCAGCGACGAAGCGCATTTCACTTTGAATGGGACGGTAAACAAGCAAAACTGCCGCATCTGGGCGAACGAAAATCCCCGTGAGTATCAAGAGCAGCCGATGCATCCTCAAAAAGTGACTGTGCGGTGTGCATTGTGGTCAAAAGGCATCACCGGACCTTACTTTTTCGAAAATGCGGCCGGGGACGCCGTTACCGTCAATTCTGAGCGATATCACGTTATGATAGAGGACTATTTTTTTCCGCAACTTGAAGGAATATCCATCGATTGCAGTCCTTCTTCGGTGATCGCGTGATTTCGCGCAGAGGAAATGTGCCATGGCCACCAAGATCGTGCGATTTGACTCCCTTGGACTTCTGTTTATGGGGATATTTGAAAAGCAAAGTCTACGTCAACAAACCAGCCACCCTCCAAGAACTCATAAACAACATCATTGACTTGATAAATGCCATAGAACCGACCATGTTGCAAAATGTCATTGAAAATTTCGACCATCGCGTGGACGTCTGTAAATCCAGTCGTGGTGAACGTTTGAGCGATATTATTTTTCATACATAAATGGTATAAATGAACCTTCAAAATAAAGTACCCAACTTGATTTGAATATCAATCTTTCTTGTTGTAATATGCGTTTACTTTCCTGCGTTCGTTTTGGACAACCCCATACTTTTAAGGCTTCATGGTACCTCTATTCCTATGTAAAATATGTAAACAGCTAAACATGTAAATTTTAAATAAATTCCATTTTAATCATAACTGCATCAGGAATAAAGATAGGGACATGCGTTTTCACTAGTTTGTAACATCTGCATAATGAGATATTACAATACAAACAGTATTTAAAATTTTCGAAAAAACATAAACACACCTGTAAAGGATTATTCTTTTGTATATCTACATTTAATCCGTAATCCCACCCTAAAGAACACATGACGAGCGCTCCAAAAGTGGACCACATAGCGAGTCCTCCTTTGGACCAACTAGCTACGAGTCCGCATCCGTCGGGCGTCCATATCACTCTGCCCACCGCACCGGGATAGCCAGGGTAATCTTTGCTGCTCAGAACGCAGTTATGCGATACTTCTAACCCACCCGTACTTTCATCCACACAGTACACTACGCATTCGGAGTTCACGCGACCGAAGGTGATCAGTCTGAAAACAAAATGCATCGTTGGATATGAAGGCATAGCAGAGTCGGAAGACTCAAATCATCACCATTGTATGCAGAGAATTTTAGATGCGAAGTGTAGCGAGTCTCTACAGAAAAAATGCACAACAAATTCGTTCTGCTTAACGAATACTGATGTAAACGAAGTTATTTAAACTAAAAATCAAAAAATCGCCAGGTTATAACATAAGAGTAGAAACTCTAAAAATTATACTCGTGGTTATCTATATAGCTAAACCTCTTATGGTGTATCTGAAGTCACTTGAAATAGCATAAAAACCTTTGGTCGGCGCGTCCTTTGTAATTTCATGACGTATCATAGGCGTGCGGCATTTATTTAGAACGATAATAATAATGTTTTTATATCACAATAAATGGATTTTACTATCTTCTTATTTTTTTGATTTGGGATAAAAAATACTTATATTGGGAGTTTAATTTATGTTGACTGAAAGTTAAGAAATGGAAAAATTACAGAATTCCAACGTTTGACATAGGCAAATATTTACATAGCAGGTAGGTATATAAAAAGGTATATAAAGACTTACATTATAGGTATTTATATATCATCCTCGCCTTCGGAGCTGTCCCTAGAGTCATCTTGTAGAGGAATTACAACGGGATTTACAGGAGGCAAAACACTATTCATTTTCTTTTTCAATAATATGCCTAGAACACTGCTTCCATAGGTCTGTGGCAGCAATATGAGATACTGCATCTCTTATTGTGGCCAATAGCGATTCACTTAATTGAGGGGTCTGATTATGTTTTCTTACTTTTTTTTTTAAAGCAGCCCAGACCAACTAAATCGGGTTAAAAATGCAGTAATAGGGAGGTAGACGTAATACTTCATGGCCATTTTGCTGAAGCAGATTGTCAACAACATACTCTTTTTCAAATTTTTGTCTTTTAATAAGATCCAATAATATGGCTTTGGTTGATTTTTGTGGTATTTCCATTCCCTTATCCTTCATAAAATCAATAATGTCTTGTTTTTTTGTGCCTGTATTCGGAATTTTGTTTTTCTGTCGGGAATGGTATGGCGCATTGTCCATAATAATCACTGAATTTGGGGAAATGTTTGGTATTAACTGCTGCTCTATCCACTTTTCAAATAAGTCGGAGGTCATGTCCTCATGATAGTCGGCACATGATTCTTTGATATTTTTGGCAGATAACAGCAAGGCATTAGGTATAAATCTATTTTCACTGCCAGCATGGAGAATAATGATTCGTTTTCCACGGTTGCATGGTGCATTTAAAATGCACTTGTTGCTGTCGTCAACCCAGCCGTACTGCACAACATCATGGGTATCATACCACGTTTCATCCAGGTAAATCAGATTTCTTTTCTGCTCTCTATAGATTTTAACTTCGTGCAAAAATTCTTGGCGCAATTCAACGATTCGAGACGACTCCATAATCACCATTCATTTATCTAATTTTTTGTATTGAAAACCACACAGTTTTACAATACAGTGCAGTGAGTCTAAGCATTTGTATTTATAAAAATCTTCAGGATAATCTTTTAATTTATCCCGTATCATTTCCAACGTGGGCACCAAATTTTCTTTATAAAATCCGTATATTATACGACGAATATCTTCCTGAAAACCCACGTCTATTCTTTTTAATTTTTGCCCTATGCGCTTTCTGTGGAAGGAATGGTTGACTACATCTCCCCTTTTTATAACCCGATAAATGGTAGACCGACTGATTTTTGTCAGGATACAAATTCTGTTTAAAATTTGATTTTGCGAGGAATCTGGATTTTCGTTTTTCAGACAATCATACATATTTACTCTTTGGGTCTGTTCCTCTAAATCTTTATGAAAGAATTCTGCCTGCACAGGTTCATCAACCATCTCCTCGTGGCTTGGAGCATTTTCCCAAGGTCTCCAAAGAGCCATATTTAGGACACACAAGAACAATCAACACAACAATTAAATCAACAAGTAAACAGAGTATTCAAAAGTCAAAAACACACAAACTAATAAAATCTATGAAAAAACACGGACAGACTAAAGAAAACACGTTTATTCACCGCTACACGGCACTGGCTAAACTGTTTCAATTTTCAGTAGCCACCTGCACTTGTTCCGAGCTCTGAAATACACGCTTTCTCATTGGCTATGTCCACGCATAGGCGTGCTTTACTCCACGTGGACCGGTGAAACTGCCTTTGATCTCTTATACGGGGGATATTTGCTGCGAAATTTGGCGATTTTTGCAGCAACAGAGCGTGTTAAATATAGATATATAAAACGCACCCGGTATTTCACAGTGTTTCAAGTGACTTCAGATAAAGTATACATTCCTAATAAATTTGATTTTTAAATCTGGTAATTATCCCAGTGCATTTAAAACGGCTTTAATTACGCCAATACATAAAAGTGGAGATAGATCAGAATTGAATAACTATAAACCAATTTCTGTTATAACAGATTTCGCGAAGATATTTGGAAAGATCCTGAAAGTACGACTAGTTTGTTGATAAATTCAAACTAATATCTGATTCACAGTTTGGCTTTAGAAAAGGTGTATCTACCAAAGATGGTTATTTAAATTATTTCAAAATTATTTGCATAACAGAAAACATAAGGTTAAAATTGAAAATACCGGGTGCGCCATCTTTTATGTCGTTATTGAAACATCGAATGACTTTGATATTTACCAACCGAGTGATTTGGTTATACGAGTTTCTGAAAAGTCAATTTACTACAATTTTAGTCATGAATCGCTTTACACCGAAACAACGCGCCGGAATAGTCACAATGTACATTGAAAATCGTCGTTCAGTTGTGCTAACGCGTGCATATCGTCGAAAATATCGTGGCAAACAGGCACCGTCTGACAACACTATCCGTCGTTTGGTTTCGAATTTTCTTGAGTACGGGACAGTGGAACATCGTCAAGTGTACGCCAGCAAGCTCCAGACCACTGAAGAACTCAAGGCAAACATTCGTACTGCAATCGCCGCTATACCACCAGGGATGCTCGAAAAAGTAATGGAAAACCCAGCAAAACGGGCACATTTTGTTTTGGCCAATAAAGGTGGCCACTTGATAGATGTTGTGTTCAAAAACTAGTCCCAATAAATTGTAAAGAACCATATTTAATAAAAATACCCGATATATAGAAATCAGTTTTTCGTTTTCAAAGTTATTTCATGTTTACATACCGACATAAAAGATGGCGCACCCGGTATAACTAATGAAAAAATGACTGTAATGCATGGCGTTCCACCAAGAACAACAGTCGCACCCCTTCTTTTTAATATAAACTGATGGACAGTTGCTTTGCCTGGGAAAATTTTACCCAAATTCAAATCTCGGAACTGAAAAAGATATCGAGCTACGGTATTCGGGAGATTCTTGACCAACTCTTTGACAAGTACAGGGTTCGAGCAGCATATTTCTTTTATTTATCCACAAAGTTTGGGGCTATGCCAGATTCTAAATATGTTTGATCTTGAAAATTTTTCAATGCATCTTTTTGATCTTTTGACTATCCTAAAAAAAGTGGTATCTCAAATTTTTCGAAAGTTGGTTATAACTCAAATTATCAGCTCGACCTCGCATTTTTTTGGATTACCCTCTCCATCCAAATAGGACGTTTCTCCAATATCATCCTAACTACCTGCACCTCAAACATGCAATAGTTAAATAATAATAATATTGACTGTAGACTTCACAGTATAATTTTATTTTCTCGAAAATGCCTCGTCTTGTTCAAAAAGAATTATACAAGATTATTAAGGTCGTTTAATGAATGATGTAGCTTTAAAAAAATAGTTATTACCTATACTTATGATTAATCGATGTACATGTAGCATCTTCTATTCCCTGCGCCCAGATCCCCTGCACCTGATTAGGATCAAATTTCAGAGTGGGAGCCGTTAGAAACGCAGCTCTGCCATCATTCAAAACTATCGAGAATCCTCCGACCAGCGGGGAATACTCGATATCTACAATGTAAGTGTTTTCCTCGACGATGGGAACCGCTTTAGACACCTGTTGATTGATACAGAACGGTATCCGTCTTAAATCTAAGGTATAATCTCGATTCTGGCTACCGTCCCAGCGGTATCTGAGCACGTGACCGTTTGTTGTGGCTATCATCAGTTCGGACATCGTTATACACACCATTCCAGAGATTCTGCCATCCCATACCATGACTTCGTCACTCTGAAAAACAGACAGGTTTTAATGAGTACTATTAAGGAGCTGGGAAAAGTTCCGCATGTAGCACGCATGATTTTATCGATGTGTAACCTAAGTCAAAGAAGTAAAATTGGCAATACATTATCAAACATTAAAAACATTTCGGTAGGTGTGCCACAAGGTGGCAAATTAGGTCCATTACTATTTATTTTACACTGCAAAATACGACTATTTGCTGATGATACATTAATATATATATATATATATATATATATATATATGTCAAATAAAGACATTGAAACTGCAACAGAGCTGTTAAATAATGATATGAAAAATGTAATAAATTGGTTAAATGTAAATAAACTTAAACTAAACACAAACACAACAAAATATATGCTATTAGGAAAATCTTTAAATCAAAATACGATAAATCTTACAATTAATCATTAAAAAATTGTGTCAATCGAATCATTTAAATATTTAGGCATATATGTAGACAGTAAATTAAAATTTGTATATATTATATCCTAGCAAATAAATTATTTGTATAGAATTTCGCATAGCCTAAGCGTTTATTCTAAAAAAATTGTGAAATGAAACTGTACTTTCAAAATTACAAATATTACAAAATAGAGCTATGAGAATCATCTTAAATAAGAATAAATATACTAGAATAAATTTTATGCTGAAAGAACTAAGTACAATGGTTAAATATCAACAAAACACAAGCTGCAGATATAATTAAACATAAAGAAATCCTTCTAAAAAAAGGGATTTTGAACAGCAATTTGAATCAAATAAATAGCTTTTTGACTGATGATGGTACCAAAATTGACAAATTGTTATGACTGGTTATAGCAGCTTGTCATAAGGGGATTCCTTTGACAGGTATGTATGCATGCTTCTCAGCATTCTAATATTTTAGAATGTGAATCTCATTTAATTCGAAATACCAAAACAAAATCTGACCTATTTGATCATCAAGTTAGCACTTTAGGAAGAAAGAAAAGCTGTCATATAAGATGGAATAATATGAGGTATCGTAACAGGTATTTACTCCATCCAAATTGGGCCAAATAAGCTTCATAATGCATCCATGTTCACAACAAGTAATGCATATAAATCAAAAATCAATCATTATAAAAGTGTATAATAGTTAAATATAGAAATCATGCATTTATTACCAAAGTTAACTTCAGAGGAGGTATAGTTTCTTTTATGAATAGCTCAGCACTATCTCTCCTTAAGTTGGCATGAGGAGAATCTGTCTGGACATACAGCCCTTTATGATCAGAAGGCACCCCTAATTTGTAGAATAGCAGATGGCCCTCTGAAGTCTAAAAATAAAGAAACAATGTACAAGAGCATTCAAAATAAATGAAAGATCCTTACAGCAACTACTATCATGCTTGAATCTGGCTTCCATTCTGCTAAAACATTTGTCCCAAATTTTTCTATGGATTTGCTTGTACGTTTCTGATACACTATAGGGACACAGGGCTGAAACAATATTAAATTAGAGCGTGACCAGGGATATACTGAATGAGAGCATACCTTGCAGAACCATATTGCTAAAGATTCTTCGGTCAAAATAGCAAACAAAATTCTGTCTCTATTACACGTAATTTGTTTGATTTTCCCATGACCCAATTCTGGTGTTTTAATAACCTTTGGCCACCCGATTGGGAAGTACATGTTTTTTTACCTGACACTTTCTTAAGTACTTATACACAATCACATTTTAAAAATTAAAAACTAATGAAAATACTGGATTTTTATATAAAAAATTGACACATACTTGTTGTGATAGCAGAACTGACACAACTTTCAAATGTCAAACGTCAAAGTTGTCAAATGTCAAGGAACGGGCGCGTTCGAGTCAGCGCCAAATTCGAGGCTATGCATGGATCTATTCACCGAGGTAAGAGGCCCGAGGCCCCTGAGGCCTTTTGCCCAAAAATTAATGAGGCGTTAAGTGGCAGAAAAGCGAACCTCTTTAACAAAAAATGCCGGTAATTCTCTTGCTTTGCTACACCAGCAATTTTTTTATTTTCCTTCCGAATAGGCACTAGGTTTGGGTTGTAAATGATGGAAATGAGACTAAAAATATTATAATATTGTGGATATTATCTGGGTTTTAAACAATAAACACCTAAGGCCCGTATCGTCAGTCGTCCCTACAATTGTAGGGCGCGTTTATGGCCTCCTTGATTGTCATAGTGTTCTACTTCTCCGCTATTTTGAGGTTATGTCACAAACATCTATTTGCATCAAATTGTGCTTGCTTTTGAGTTTTATTATGTTTTATCAGCCTGAAATTTCCTACAATTTAAAAGGAAAACATACCTTAACAATAGGAGAGCGCTGACGCTGAGACGGGACGAGTGTAATCTAGAAATTTTTGAAGGAGAGAAAAGAGTATGACAATCAAGGAGGCCATAAACGCGCCCTACAATTGTAGGGACGACCGACGATACGGGCCTAATATAGACTGCAACTCCAATATTACATACTTACCGATGTGATTTAGTCTCGTGGGTCAGAAAAAAATAAACAAACTAATCAGATCTTAAAATATATTAACATAGTGCATAACTCAAGGTGTCAAGTAATCCACACCGTTCAAATGTCCTTCGTCCCTGGCTCTTTGCTTGGCGAGCCTCTCTCTATCGTATCCGTCAATTCCGAGTCCCAGTCGTTCGATGGCCTTTTCACCAAGTACCCCGTTAAGCTCTTGGTACTGCCTGGATCTTCTCTTGCCTATTTCCGGATCGAACGGCCACTTTTGGTCCTTGTGAAGCACCGGATGTCCGGCTACGTTGAACTCGATGAGGTCACGGACTATCTCGAATTGTGCGAAGGCTGTTGACAGCAAAGCGAGGAAGACGGTCTAGATAAAGGAAGAAGAGAGACATAAAAAAGTTGCCGGGGTGGTATTTGACTGTTCAAAATGAAATAAAATAGATTTTTTGTCTTAGCGTTTATCTAAATTTGGCAACTTTTTCTGTTATTGTGTGGTTTTCAGTAAGAGTATGCTTCGATCAGTTGTATCAGTCTTTTAATAGTGGGTATACTTTCAATTGTCTGATTATTTTGTGCAAAAAAATAGGAAACAATGAACTAGTGGACATAATATTAACATACAGACAGCGGCAACAAAATACAGCCGCAGTATGCGGAAAGGTTTCCTTTAAGAAACACCCGGCCCCACAGATGTTTATTGTAAACTTAATTATTAGACTTCGTGACACAGAATTTTTGAAAGAACAACAAGGAACAAGGAGGTCACGCTGCTCAGCCTGAAATGTTACAAATTGAGAAATACACTTTTGAAATTGTCAATGTAAAACGGATATTAGATATTGGGGGCCAGATGGCATTATACCTAAGTGAAATTTGTGAAATACCTGATTTGACATTCAACTTGTTTTTCGACTACGCCCTAAAATGATAGGAAAGTTCAATAACATAAAGAAAATCAAAAACTGAGGTTTTTCACCCATAACTTCGGCGATGCTACTGGAATGATTTTCATAATTGATAAAGTTGTTTTTGTTTTTCGAATCCGAGTTGTACTTTCCAAGGTATAGAGAGACCAAGAATTACAAAAATTAACTAATGACCAACGGAAATGAGTGACTTGGTTTTTTGTGATGTGCATTTCATGTATCATAAAAAAACCCAATATCTCGATTTCAGAATGTTCGGCAATTACGAGGGTTGTCTCAAAAATAAGGTTCCTCGCATTTTTTTTAGGCACACGTATTTTTTTATTTAAAAACGAATTTATTGGAAAAGTTGCGCGTATCCAGAAAAAACAGTGGCGTACCATTTTTATTTGGAAAAATAATGCCACTAATCCCTGTAACTCCGCCACTGGTGCACGATAATTTTAAGTAAAGACTTTTGATTCTGGACAATTTGGTAAATCCACATACCAAGTTTTAGTTCATTCCAGTTGAGGGTTTTGAAGATACGAAAAAAATTGTTTTATATTTTTAAACTTCAACACCCCGTATCTTTTTAAAGAAGCCCTCGTGGAAGACCCCACTTAAAATGCGATATATGATGTTTCATTTTTGGTCACGACTTGTGAATCACCCCGTATAACAAGATTTTTTCGTATTGAGCATGCTTATTTTATAGAAAATTCATATAAACACATTTAATGGTTATTGGAAATAAATCTTATTTGCAAGATTTATCTTGCCTATTTTATCTAACAATAAAAGTAAAACAACATAAAACATAATTTCTAAAAAGTTTGTCAACGTAAAGCTGTCACTATTACAATCCTTTCATTTTCTAAAGCGCGCGAACTGTTGTGGCCTTCTTTGTAGGTGACGAACAACTGTAATAATATAAATAGAAACCTTTCTCTTACCAGTACCAAAAAACGGCAATCCATTTCAGAAGATGCAAGAAAAATAGACTATTTACCGTATATTCTCACTCACGCACTCTTGGTTATCATTAGATTAAAACACATAACGTATTTAAGGAAAGAGAAAGTGTGTGCTGTCATATGACCCTGATGTAATGATCTTCGCGTGGTGGTAACCAAATGACAGATAAGTTCATAATTGTTAGGTAATGGGTTAACATTGCGCGAGGTGTTGATATTAAAAGTGCAGATGATTAAATGTTTTTTTTTTCATTGGAAACGGATCAATTACCTTTCAACGGAACTTACCTGCTATTACAATTTCATTCAATTTGTCAATACCTTATAAGCATACTTAATTTAATAACTACAGATCGCTTTACATCATATAACGGTTTCAACACTTAGTAACAAAAATTTTCTTTTTACGTTTTCTATAGAGCTTTTAGACTTCAGTTATGTACTTTCTGATTACTAGTTAGTCTAGGCTAATCTTATAACCGCCTACAATAGCCGAAAATTCCGGCCCACACATTTATTTTTTCTGGATATTGCACCACCATGCAAAAAGAACGTACACTCATCCGAGGAACAAAATTAAATAACAGATTTGCATTGTTGATTAAACGTTGGCACATTAATTCGTCTTCATTAAGCTCATGGACAAGTTTTATCTTGTTCAGGTGAAATTGATTGTGTTTCAAAATTCTTTGTACTGATGAGCGTGTACATTCTGAAGAAGTAGCCAGTCCACGAACACTTTGGGTGATGTCAAGTGCTATGTGTCCTAAAACTGCTATTTCTACGGCGAATATGAGACACAGATCCAGTTTCTTCAAATTTTTAACTTACCGTAGCTCTTGTAATGCTTCCAATTTTTCTTGAATTGAATAAGTCATTGTTCAATCACAACTAGGTAGGTAGGTAACAACAATTTGAAATGAAAGACAAAGTTTTTCTATGACATACGATGACACTGACTGATGCTAGATGTTCTTGCTGGTATCCATGGTGATTATTATACTAAGTGACATATAAATCCGAACACCCAGTTTAAATGGTTTTACTTTAATAAAAGTTGGTGAATGTATTTATCTTACTGTAAATAACAAGTGAAAAAATGTTCAGCCTTATCAGTTGGACATTCCGGTTTTTATACTGCTTTTTTTTAATTCACTAACGCTCTAAAAATGAATATTTCAGCCGCAGTAAAGAATCAACGTTGGCGGATTTTGGTTCTTGACATCCTTTACCATCGGTTACGATGCCTAGAGTACGGAGACCTGTACGATTTCGTCAACTTAGTGATTTTGATAGGGGCCGTATAGTGGGACTTCGGGAAGCTGGACTTTCTATTCGGGCAATTGCAGTTAGAGTGCAAAGAAGTGTAGACACTGTGGTTAGGTGTTGTCAGGCATGGCTTCGAGAAGGCCGTACGCAAAGAGCAAGGAGCACTGGACGCCGCCGTAGAACAACAGACCGTTAAGATCGCCGCCTAATATTATTGGCCTTAAGGGACCGTTTCTCCACTACCAGGTCCATTGCAAATGAATGGTTTGCAGAACACGGAAGACCTATTGGCATGCGAAGTGTTTACCGACGAATGAGAAGTTTTGGCTTGTTTTCATACCGGCCACACTGGGTCCTCCCTTTAACTCGAGAACACCGACGTAATCGCCTTGAGTGGTGCAGACAACGGTCACTCTGGGATCAGGAATGGAACAGTATTGTCTTTAGTGACGAGTCTCGATTTTGTTTAGGCATGCACGATGGTCGTGCCAGGGTTAGAAGGCGACGTGGTGAAAGGAGGAATCCACAGTTTTTTGTTGAAAGACATGTTCATCACACTGTTGGAGTTATGGTTTGGGGTGCTATAGCTTATGGTTCCAGGTCACCTTTAATCTTCATCAGAGTTCTAGAACCCCATCTTTTACCCTATCTTGACACCCTAGCAGATCCAACTTTCCAACAAGATAATGCCCGACCACATGTTGCAAGAGTCACAATAGACTTCTTTCAACATAATGATGTCACATTGTTACCATGGCCACCAAGATCTCCCGACTTATCCCCAATTGAGCACGTGTGGGATATGATGGGTAGGAGATTGCTCAATTTGCAACGTCCTCCTCAGACTCTAGAAGCACTTCGAGAGGAGTTGGTGGTTGCCTGGAATGAGATACCACAGGAGGACATTGACCACCTGATCAGAAGCATGCCTAGGCGCGTTGGAGAATGCGTAGCACATCAGGGTGCATCCACACATTATTAAAGGTCAAAGGGCTTTAAAGCAGTGCAATCATTTTGAAATTTTTATCATTTAGTACTTATACAAAATTTTATTAAAATAAAACCATTTAAACTGGGTGTTCGGATTTATATGTCACTTAGTATATTTTTAAGTCGAATTTTATTAAAAACTCAAATAGCTTCACAGCGATTGAAGAAAGGTATAAGCTTTATCATACAAAGGTTACTAAAAATCTAAAAACTAAAAGAATGGGGGTTTCATTTGAAAATCTAAAGTGTAATTTTTGGATCACACTGTATTGTATGGCTATACATGAAAAGACGTCCTCGTAGAAATCAAAATTGACGTGTCCGAGCCGTTTTTCCCAAAGTATACAAGGAAAGTCTCAAATGGGGGTGCGACCTTTTCATTGGGCCACCCCCTGTATCTAATGTTTATAGAACCGTAGGTAACAGAAAAATCAAAAACTTTTCCAAAAATGTTCCAGTTCCTGCCTGCGGTAGGATCCGTAACTTTTCGTCATCCTAAATAAGAATAATAAATCCGAATTTTCATCCATTACAGAATTTTTGTTAGGTCAAAAGTGTTCTTTTAGTAAAATGCAGGGTGTTTTCAAAGTTAGCATTTTATTTTAACAACGTGTAGAACTCACTCAAAACTCACCTATATAAAAGTTGTACAATAAGAGCTTTTTAATCTTTTACCATTTCTTTTATTATGCAACTTTTGTATAGGTGATTTTTGATATACCAACTCCTTTTGACGAGTCCTACAAGGTATTAAAATAAATGACTCAACTTTGAAAACATCCTGTATAAGAGTCAGTCGGAAATAATACGACGACGACCATTCACGTTGTCATGGCTTGGTGGAGGGAAGGTCACTTTCTCTTTCTTCGAGACCACTAAAGAGGCATTCACAGTGCTCGGTTCCGACCGTTAACTGTTAACAGTTATTTTATTTGTTAAAGCAGAACAGTGCCTCATTCTAGAACGGCTGAATATAGTTTTTCAACAAGATGACCTACAAGTTGGGCGTTCTGGTGAGTTATTTGAACGATTTCGTCAATATTCATGTAGTTGACTTTCAATCGATGAAAATTATGTATTCGACGTTATTCTTGACCTAAAAATTCTAAACAATTTGATCATCAAGTATGTCACGAAAGTTTATGCATTTGTTTTTAGGTGATTTTGTTGGTACTTTGCACAACCCTCATAAATGCTGTGTTGCAACCTAAAGCTCCAAACTTCCAATATTTTGAAAGGTGAGTAAATTTAGTTCCTTTATTTCCGTATTGCGGTCTTTGAACCAATTACGTTGCTCAAGTGTAGTTTTATGAAATATTAATATTCTTTAAAACAAAAAATTTGCACGCAATCATAAGTCGCGTATAGTTTACTACTTCTTAGCAAGTAATTTAGTTGGTAATGGATTGAAGACGATGTGCGTTAAAGTACTGATAAGTATCAGTTCAACAAACCTGAAAATTAGTGAATCTACAATGCTATTTGGTAAAATATAGTTAAAATAGAAAGTAAAAATAAAGATAAGTAATAGGGCTTCTTGCACATCTTTTTTTAATCGAAACAGCTTAAACATAAGTGCTTAGTGGTGGCAGTGAGGAATTTTTCGTCACGTACTTACCTTATAACTCACGAAAGATATAGAAAGGTTGTAGAACTGACATGGACGGAGTTAGTATGAATATCTAGGAAAGGAAACACATTTTGTGATCTTCATAAGGCATTCGACTGCGTTGATCACAACAAATTCTTGGAAATTGTTGGTAAATATGGCTTTGTTGGAGAGTCTTATACATAAATGATTTACCTGCCATAGTCAAAAAATGCAAAATTCAGACTTTCGCCGATGACACTATGATTTATATAAGTACTAAAAATATTCAGTCTGGTATCTCTTATATAAATGAAGACTTGAAGCTTGTCTCAAAATGGTTAGCATCTAACAGACTAAAATTAAATGCAAGTAAAACGAAAGCTTTGTTAATCGGAAAAAAACAATGTACAAATGTTCAACAGAATATTGATGGTGAAGATATTGAATTCGTAGAAAATTTTAAATACCTTTGGGTTTTTGTTGACTCTCGATTAATTTTTGATATTCATTATGAAAAAGTTATAAATAAGATTAGTAGTAAAGTGGGATATTTATCTAGAGTTTCTGGATGTCTGAGTTCATATAGCAGAAAAATTATCTATAATACCATCATTCTTCCAAATTTCTTGTACTGTTCGACTATTCTATATTTAGCAAATAATTCCATTTTTTGAAAGACTGCAAATTTTACAAAATAAGTGCATGAGAATAATACTAAATAAAGATAAATATACTCCAATTAGGCAAATGCTTAGCAAATTAAAATGGCTCAATGTAAAAAATTTTATCAAATATCTTGTAATGATATTCATTTATAAAGTAGAAAATAATATATTTCCATCAAGTCTAACTAATTTAACATCATCAAATGTCGACCATCATTTACATAATACCAGAAATAAAGATGACTTACATTTAATGACCAAAAAGTATAACATATGCTACAAATCTGTATTCCATCAAGGGTTGATTGAATATAATAAATTATACTCGGAGATAAAAGACCAGAAAACTTTGACAAAATTTAAAGTAAAATTGAGAAATCACTTGTTAAATCTATAATTATAGGTTGCCCAGCATTTACATCATACACCATATGGCTTGAATTTACTAGTTCTAAGTTGTTTACAATAATTATTCTGTTTATGTAGCCAAATGTGCTAAATAAATCTTTCTACTACTACTAGTCTCTTAGATGGGCAAATGGGCCAGATCGATTTTAGTTCAAAGAAAACAATATGTTTCGATACAAGTGTGGACCAATCTTTTTCATCATGCAAGAAAAACTGTAGAAGAGTTTCAAGTTATATTGGGTGACGAAAAACTCGATTTTACCTTTTAGCAATATTTTGTAATATTTTCAAAAAGTGTGATTTTTTCTGATGGATAAAAAAGATTTCCAGAAAATTAGTTTTAAAAAATAAAACCATGGATTTCTGTGTTTCTGGCCTAAGTTTTAGTTAGGAACAAGATATCGAGATGCGGTTTTCACCAGCTTGCTTAGACATCATTTAGCTGCTTTTTCATAAAAAAAGTCATACCAATGCATTTAATTTTTTGAGAAAATTAACCCTTTCTGTCGGAATGTCGAAAAAGGCCCTATAGCGCCCACATGCGTAACTAACAAAACTTCAAATATTATAACATTTTTAGCCCAAAAATAGCTCTTTTCAACTAGCCCAAGTTTGTTAAAATCGGTACAGCCGTTTCGAAGATACACGGTCTTCTTTATCGAAACCTTTGAATACCCCCCACCACTTTATTTTTAGAGATACAGCAAAAATTGTCAAACAAAAAAGTTCACATTATCCTTGACTTGAAAGATTTTTTTGTTACAGTTTTTTAGATTCAAGATTGTATGGCCATTTCAGAAACTTGAAAATATTTTCCAGGTGTGTCTCTTGGCCGTTTTAGTAATAATTCTTTTACAGTACCTCACATTCTTAGTAGGCCACCCTGTACAAACTTCCGCTTATATAGGTTAGATTGCTCAAATGTTTTTGTACATTTTTGTTTTGTGAGAATGATTCGGGGAGCTATAACCTCAGATACGTTTGACGTCTTCCATTTTTGCTGATTATCAATTTTTTTCTATTTCAGACCGAAGTACAGGTACCCATATTATGACGAGAATGGAGTAGGAAGACTACTCTATGGTTATGGAGATGACAAACTTTACCAATACAAAGTGTTTTCTCCATTAGAAGGCATACACTAGAACCACCTCTGTTTTCGTATATAAAATCGATTTCTAGTCAGATATTACTGTAGATGAGAACAAGAAGAATGGACGAGTGTTCAATGGAAAGAACATTATTCCTTGCGATCCAATAAAATATGCGCTACATTCGGTTATTTCCCACAATAATTTTTGATAGTCCCAGTCATTTACAACGGACCATCAGTTCAGATCATAACTCATAACTAGGCAGCATCATACAGTCAAAATCACGAAAGATGATTATTACGTCATACCATAAATTGTACTGAAGTAATCAATCGACGTATGTCGATGATAAAATCACGAAGTCAGGAACATATATTATGATTTTGCGAAGTTAGGTTATTTTACTGATTATTTTTATTTTCATTTTATTTCATAGGTTTAATAATAATTTTAGTGGGAAGTTTTTGTTTTGAAAAAAACAGCTATGAGTAGAATACACTCTCAGACAGGAGCACCAAAGACCAAAGTATTATTCGAAAACAACCTAACCTGCTTTAACATAACCTAACTATTCATCTTTCAAATATGATCGATCATGCAACATGAAAACATCATCTACCTTTGTCGGATACATGCAAATTAGCAATACAGTTTGTTTAGACAAAGTTATGTTTGTCTCTGTCTAACATATCTGAAACTTCATTCAAAATATAGACAAATCGCTGTCGTTTGTCTTGACTACAGACTAAAATGATGACGTATTCGTCATCTTTTGTGATTTAGACTATATTACTATTTTGTCTGGAAGACTGTATTTGACAGTTTGCTGACCTATGTGACATTTGAAACTCATCCTGTCGTGTTCATGGTGATGAATCTCCATGTTTTTCTTGCCGACAAATAAAACCACAATATGAGTCTTTCATATTGAATTATATTAACATATTTTTAACGCAGGAATCAATAATATCGACGAATTCTTCTTGAACTCATTGTAGATAACCAATTGCAATTAAAGCCAGATATGCTTCACGTAAGTGAAAGTTACTTTCAGTAATTTCATTACACTTAAGATGAACGTGAGATGCCTGGTCATGGTTTCACGTTTATAAATAAAACTCCATAATTGTACAACATTTTATTATAAATAGAAATTCACGTTTACTTAAAAATGGAATATAACACATCAAGAAAATATCTATATATATACAAATTCAGGCAAAGTATAGTTATTTTTGCAAGAAATATGTCAACTTTGTATAATCTATAATATTTGTACATCAATAGCAAAACATTTATAAAATCTATGATACATATTTGTTGAAAATAAATTTTTATAGACATTTTAAATGTTTATTTACGTCTAAAGCTTTACAACAGTATTTACTCAAAGATATGAAAAGACAATAATAGATTTTAGTGAAAACGAAAAATATGATGGTGATGAGAAAAAGACACATATACTAAGTGACATAAATCCGAACACCCAGTTTAAATGGTTTTATTTTAATAAAATTTTGTATAAGTATTTAATGAAGCAAATGATAAAAATTTCAAAATGATTGCACTGCTTTAAAGCCCTTTGACCTTTAATAATGTGTGGATGCACCCTGATGAGCTACGCATTCTCCAACGCGCCTAGTCATGCTTCTGATCAGGTGGTCAATGTCCTCCTGTGGTATCTTATTCCAGGCAACCACCAACTCCTCTCGAAGTGCTTCTAGAGTCTGAGGAGGACGTTGCAAATTGAGCAATCTCCTACCCATCATATCCCACACGTGCTCAATTGGGGATAAGTCGGGAGATCTTGGTGGCCATAACAATGTGACATCATTATGTTGAAAGAAGTCTATTGTGACTCTTGCAACATGTGGTCGGGCATTATCTTGTTGGAAAGTTGGATCTGCCAGGGCCAAGATAGGGTAAAAGATGGGGTTCTAGAACTTCGTGGATTTAACGCTGCGCGTTCATGTTACCTCTGATGAAGATTAAAGGTGACCTGGAACCAAAAACTATAGCACCCCAAACCATAACTGCAACAGTGTGATGAACATGTCTTTCAACAAAAACCTGTGGATTCCTCCTTTCACCACGTCGCCTTCTAACCCTGGCACGACCATCGTGCATGCCTAAAAAAAATCGAGACTCGTCACTAAAGACAATACTGTTCCATTCCTGATCCCAGAGTGACCGTTGTCTGCACCACTCAAGGCGATTACGTCGGTGTTCTCGAGTTAAAGGGAGGACCCAGTGTGGCCGGTATGAAAACAAGCCAAAACTTCTCATTCGTCGGGTAAACACTTCGCATGCCAATAGGTCTTCCGTGTTCTGCAAACCGTTCATTTGCAATGGACCTGTTAGTGGAGAAACGGTCCCTTAAGGCCAATAATCTTAGGCGGCGATCTTCACGGTCTGTTGTTCTACGGCGGCGTCCAGTGCCCCTTGCTCTTTGAGTACGGCCTTCTCGAAGCCATGCCTGACAACACCTAACCACAGTGTCTACACTTCTTTGCACTCTAACTGCGATTGCCCGAAAAGAAAGTCCAGCTTCCCGAAGTCCCACTATACGACCCCTATCAAACTCACTAAGTTGACGAAATCGTGCAGGTCTCCGTACTCTAGGCATCGTAACCGATCGTAAAGGATGTCAAGAACCAAAATCCGCCAACGTTGATTCTTTACTGCGGCTGAAATATTCATTTTTAGAGCGTTAATGAATTAAAAAAAAAAGCAGTATAAAAACCGGAATGTCCAACTGATAAGGCTGAAAATTTTTTCACTTGTTATTTACAGTAAGATAAATACATTCACTAACTTTTATTAAAATAAAACCATTTAAACTGGGTGTTCGGATTTATATGTCACTTAGTGTACATATGATTACAGAAAATTGTAATAAAGACGACCTTGTGGTGAACGATCTGCTGAAAATATTGTGTATCGTATGTGTTTTAATATCTTCTTGGTTATCATACTTGTCATACTAATAATAGAAAACGGATTCAGAGCTCCAAGTTCTCAAAAAATACGAGAGCAGTCCGATAAGTGCTTGGCTCACCGCCCGATGGCACCACGGCCAAATTGGTCGAATTAGGTTACGAACTGCTGCCCCATCCACCGTATTGGCGGCTTCGTTTCGTGTCCAAACTTGAAAGTCACTCGCCGGCCAGAAATTTGAGTCGAACGAGGAGGTTATCGCCGCGACGGAGGCCTTCTTAGCAGTCCTTCTGAAAACGTATTTTTCAGACGGGTTAAAGAAGACTATGTTGAGAAATAAATCGCCACTTTCCCAAAATTGTCGTTTCTATTTTGTTGGCTAAGTACTGATCGGACCGCCCTCGTATATGTAGCTGACTGAAGGCTTAACAGGGTGTCAACTGGCCGAAGTCCTCGAAAAAAAATTAGAAAAATGAATAAATACACCGGAAGCTCTAAGCTCCAACGATGCTCGTCCCGTCATCGCGGATTGGAAATGGTATCAAAGTGAGGCTTGTAACGGGGAAATACAGAACAGCATATTTTGATATAAAGATCCTTAATTAATTATTTAGACCTTGTAAAGCTGACGTAATTGTGATATAATTCTGACCGTCATTCCGACCAAAACACACGATTTCTAGATTTGTGGAGAAAGCATGTACAGGGTGTAATTTATTCATCTGGAAAGAATGTTTTTTATACTGTTGGAAAACAGCATTTGAATGAAATGTATGTTCCGCAACATGACAAAATTTTAACATGAATACGAATCATACACGTTATTCAAAAACTTTTTCCCAACAATATAGAAACCGTTATTTACAGATGAATAGATAACATCCGGTATATGTTTCCTCCACAATTGACATAGAAATTGTATACATTGTCTATTTTACAAGTTTTAAATATACTAAGTGACACAAAAATTAGAATTATTTACTGAATTTTGATAAAACGTCAAAAAAAACCTATAAGATGTCATCTTGCAAACTAGGTAGTTTTTAGGGCGCAAACAGTCATTCCACGTTTGCTCACTAGGATCGTTGTGAACGTCCATCTATGGACGAATCACTCAACTAAACTACACGCATTATTGGTTGCATATGTTTTGTAAGGCCAAATGGTCCTAGCCTGTAGTTTTTATCTCCGAGAAGAAAGTTGTTTGAATAGCAAGATCGCATCTGGATGATTATGTGTATTCGTCTGAATGTGTATAAAATCAGTGATATTTGCTGTGTCCTTTAATAAAGGGTTGTCTAATAGGGACGCAGGAAAGTAAACGTCAATTTGACATAGACGCCATCTTTGTTTTCTGTCACCGACGTGTCATTTTGTTAGTTGAATGTTTACCATTGATCGCTATGGAGTCGTATTCGATTGAAGACCGCATTAAAGTTATTCAAGAGCACTACAAAAATGGTGCAAAAATAAAAAACACGTTTCGCGCGCTTCGTGAACATTTCGGTCGCAACAACCGCCCAAACGAAACAACCATCGGTCGTCTGGTGCGTAAATTCGAGGCAACAGGTTCTGTGGCAAATCTGCCAGGCTCTGGCCGGCCAAGGAGCGTTCGCACACCGGAAAATATTGCTGTTGTGAAGGAGAGTGTGAGAGACGATCCGAAACAACAAGATCCAATTGACGCAAGAGCTGCGTCGGGCCGACCATTTTTCGCGCCGAACGTTCTCAGATTGGCTCCTTGAACACCGCCAAATTGATGCCAATTTTTCATCAAAAATCATGTTCAGCGACGAAGCGCGTTTCACTTTGAATGGGACGGTAAACAAGCAAAACTGCCGCATCTGGGCGAACGAAAATTCCCGGGAGTATCAAGAGCAGCCGATGCATCCTCAAAAAGTGACTGTGTGGTGTGCATTGTGGTCAAAAGGCATCATCGGACCTTACTTTTTCGAAAATGCGGCCGGGGACGCCGTTACCGTCAATTCTGAGCGATATCACGTGATGATAGAGGACTATTTTTTGCCGCAACTTGAAGGAATGGATATGGACGATGTTTATTTCCAACAAGACGGTGCAACATGCCACACAACCAACGTCAATATCCATCGATTGCAGTCCTTCTTCGGTGATCGCGTGATTTCGCGCAGAGGAAATGTGCCATGGCCACCAAGATCGTGCGATTTGACTCCCTTGGACTTCTTTTTATGGGGATATTTGAAAAGCAAAGTCTACGTCGAAAATTTCGACCATCGCGTTGGCGTCTGTAAATCCAGTCGTGGTGAACATTTGAGCGATATTATTTTTCATACATAAATGGTATAAATGAACCTTCAAAATAAAGTACCCAACTTGATTTGAATATCAATCTTTCTTGTTTTAATATGCGTTTACTTTCCTGCCTCCGTTTTAGACAACCCCATATAATTAATTAAGGATCTTTCTTAATAACAAAACATTCCCGTCTGATATTGCGGTTCTGTATCCCTCCATTACCAGTCTCACTTTGACGCCATTTTTCTCAAAACCGCGATGACGTAGACTCGAGAGTCATTTGACCTTAGACTAGAAGGAAACATGAGTATTTCGGAAGAAAAAAAAGAGTAGTTTGGAAGCTTTTCTGCGGTTATGTTATGGATATGAATGAGAACGATCCAGGTTCTTAATGACATTCTGAACAAAAAAAGGTGCTAAAAGTGTATAGTTTTCGCGATATAAGTCATACAATATTGTTTGAATTTTGTTAACGGATGTTTAAGGAATATTCAGGATCATTGGCAACATTAAAATTTTCTTTTTTCATATTGTTGTTTGGGGTCGAAAATGTCATATTTCGCACTTCTTCAAATATCTCTTATATCTCAAAAACTACCAACTTTAGAGAAAAGTTATCACTTTTTTGTTCAGAATGACCCAAAAAACATGTGTGACTGACTAAATAAAATAAGTTTCGGAATTTGTTTAAAAAACCATTGTTTAAGACATTTCTGAATCAAATTTGGTCCTGCCAACAAACAGGTTCGTTAAAGGCGGCTCTTGTCGAATAACATTATGCGAAAATCAGAATCAGAATATTTTTCCATCAGAATCGAAAATACTGCCCGGACTATATATCTGTAAGTCAACACAAACAAATGGCTGCATGTAGAACTAGATTGTATATGCGACGGATGTATCAAGTGATACATCCGGTAGTCTTACTTTGACCCGCCAAAATCCGGGTAAAGACCTATGTCACAGTCCGTACTTCGTACTACCTCCATGGTCAGTTCTGACCAACGAATTCGTATACTCGCAGGTTAGGAGCCTAGTCTATTTCACGTTCTCCATTTTCGACCTTTGTCTAGGACACTAAAACCGTATGGAACCCACGCACTTTTATGCAACGTGCCCCAGAAGTCGACGTCAATCCGGAAACGTGAGATACACCAAGTTATAATACTGGGTGCGCCATCTATTACTTTTTTACCTATAAGTTTATGTTACCATGTGAGTCAAAAGTCATGTGACATGAACTGTCAAAGGTATGCCATTTCTCGTTTACAAC